GCCCTCAGCAGCCGCACCCTCCCCTCACCTCTCCGAACCGCGCCCTCAGCAGCCGCACCCTCCCCTCACCGCTCCGAACCGCGCCCTCAGCAGCCGCACCCCTCCCTCACCTCTCCGAACCGCGCCCTCAGCAGCCGCACCCTTCCCTCACCGCTCCGAACCGCGCCCTCAGCAGCCGCACCCCTCCCTCACCGCTCCGAACCGCGCCCTCAGCAGCCGCACCCCTCCCTCACCGCTCCGAACCGCGCCCTCAGCAGCCGCACCCTTCCCTCACCGCTCCGAACCGCGCCCTCAGCAGCCGCCCCCTTCCCTCACCGCTCCGAACCGCGCCCTCAGCAGCCGCACCCTTCCCTCACCGCTCCGAACCGCGCCCTCAGCAGCCGCACCCCTCCCTCACCGCTCCGAACCGCGCCCTCAGCAGCCGCACCCTTCCCTCACCGCTCCGAACCGCGCCCTCGGCAGCCGCACCCTTCCCTCACCGCTCCGAACCGCGCCCTCAGCAGCCGCACCCTTCCCTCACCGCTCCGAACCGCGCCCTCAGCAGCCGCACCCCTCCCTCACCGCTCCGAACCGCGCCCTCAGCAGCCGCACCCTTCCCTCACCGCTCCGAACCGCGCCCTCAGCAGCCGCACCCTTCCCTCACCGCTCCGAACCGCGCCCTCAGCAGCCGCACCCCTCCCTCACCGCTCCGAACCGCGCCCTCAGCAGCCGCACCCTTCCCTCACCGCTCCGAACCGCGCCCTCAGCAGCCGCACCCTTCCCTCACCGCTCCGAACCGCGCCCTCAGCAGCCGCACCCTCCCCTCACCGCTCCGAACCGCGCCCTCAGCAGCCGCACCCTTCCCTCACCGCTCCGAACCGCGCCCTCAGCAGCCGCACCCTTCCCTCACCGCTCCGAACCGCGCCCTCAGCAGCCGCACCCCTCCCTCACCGCTCCGAACCGCGCCCTCAGCAGCCGCACCCTTCCCTCACCGCTCCGAACCGCGCCCTCAGCAGCCGCACCCCTTCCCCCACCGCTCCGAACCGCGCCCTCAGCAGCCGCACCCCGGGCGCCATCGCACTCAGCGCATCCTCCAGCTCCGACAGCGCACCCAGACCCCCTCCCCCTCCCCCTCCCCCGCCAGCTCCCGGGGCCAGCAGGTCGCACTTGTTGAGCACCACCACATCCCCAGGAGCCACCACCTCCCCAGGAGCCACCACCTCCCCAGGAGCGTGCACTGAGCTGCCTGCATGCAGCCACCGCCTGGTCGCAGCCGCACCCGAGGAGAGACACACTTCACATGCATGCCCTGCTGCTGCCCCCGCCACGTCACCCGCCTGACCCTGGAGCTGAAGCCGCCGAACACGACGCTGTGCACCGCGCCGATGCGCGCGCACGCCAGCATGGCCAGCGGCAGCTCGTTGAACATGGGCATGTAGAGCGCCACCGAGTAGCCCTTCTTCACGCCCACGGAGCGCAGCCAGTTGGCCTGGGGGTGGAGTGGGGGTGGAGTGGGGTGGAGTGGGGGTGGAGTGGGGTGGAGTGGGGTGCAGTGGGGTGCAGTGGGGTGGAGTGGGGTGGAGTGGGGGTGGAGTGGGGTGGAGTGGGGTGGAGTGGGGTGGAGTGGGGGTGGAGTGGGGTGGAGTGGGGTTGGAGTGGGGGTGGAGTGGGGTGGAGTGGGGTGGAGTGGGGTGGAGTGGGGTGCAGTGGGGTGCAGTGGGGTGGAGTGGGGTGGAGTGGGGTTGGAGTGGGGGTGGAGTGGGGTGGAGTGGGGTGCAGTGGGGTGGAGTGGGGTGGAGTGGGGGTGGAGCGGGGTGGAGTGGGGGTGGAGCGGGGGTGGAGCGGGGTGGAGTGGGGGTGGAGCGGGGTGGAGTGGGGGTGGAGCGGGGTGGAGTGGGGTGGAGTGGGGTGGAGTGGGGTTAGAGTGGGGTGGAGTGGGGTGGAGTGGGGTTAGAGTGGGGTGGAGTGGGGTGGAGTGGGGTGGAGTGGGGTGGAGTGGGGTGGAGTGGGGTGGAGTGGGGTGGAGTGGGTGTGGAGTGGGTGTGGAGTGGGGATGGAGTGGTGCGGTGGAGTGGGTGTGGAGTGGGGTGGAGTGGGGTTGGAGTGGGGTGGAGTGGGGGTGGAGTGGGGTGGAGTGGGGGTGGAGTGGGGTGGAGTGGGGTGGAGTGGGGTTAGAGTGGGGGTGGAGTGGGGGTGGAGTGGGGTGGAGTGGGAATGGAGAGGGGTGGAGCGGGGTGGAGTGGGGGCGGGTGGGGGTGGAGCGGGGTGGAGTGGGGGTGGAGTGGGGTGGAGTGGGGTGGAGTGGGGGTGGAGTGGGGTGGAGTGGGGTTAGAGTGGGGGTGGAGTGGGGGTGGAGTGGGGGTGGAGTGGGGTTAGAGTGGGGTGGAGTGGGGGTGGAGTGGGGTGGAGTGGGGTGGAGTGGGGTGGAGTGGGGTGGAGTGGGGTGGAGTGGGGTGGAGTGGGGTTGGAGTGGGTTGGAGTGGGGTTGGAGTGGGGTTGGAGTGGGGTTGGAGTGGGGAAGAGTGGAGTGGAGTGGGGTGGAGTGGGGTGGAGTGGGGTGGAGTGGGGTGGAGTGGGGGTGGAGTGGGGTGGAGTGGGGTTGGAGTGGGGGTGGAGTGGGGGTGGAGTGGGGGTGGAGTGGGGTGGAGTGGGGTGGAGTGGGGTGGAGTGGGGATGGAGAGGGGTGGAGCGGGGTGGAGTGGGGGCGAGTGGGGTTGGAGTGGGTTGGAGTGGGTTGGAGTGGGGTTGGAGTGGGGTGGAGTGGGGTGGAGTGGGGTGGAGTGGGTTGGAGTGGGGGTGGAGTGGGGGTGGAGTGGGGTGGAGTGGGGTTGGAGTGGGGTGGAGTGGGGTGGAGTGGGGTGGAGTGGGGTGGAGTGGGGGTGGAGTGGGGTGGCGTGGGGGTGGAGTGGGGGTGGAGTGGGGTGGAGTGGGGGCGGGTGGGGGTGGAGTTGGGTGGAGTGGGGGTGGAGTGGGGTGGAGTGGGGGTGGAGTGGGGGCGGGTGGGGGTGGAGTTGGGTGGAGTGGGGGTGGAGTGGGGATGGAGAGGGGTGGAGTGGGGTGGAGTGGGGGTGGAGAGGGGTGGAGAGGGGTGGAGTGGGGTGGAGTGGGGTGGAGTGGGGGCGGGTGGGGGTGGAGTGGGGTGGAGTGGGGGTGGAGTGGGGGTGGAGTGGGGGTGGAGTGGGGTGGAGTGGTGCGGTGTTGCGGTGAGGGACTGCCATGGATCGCAGTTGGGGAGTGTGTGGCAGGGCGGAGCAGAGGTTAGGTAGCGAGGCAGGTGGGGGAGCGCAGCAGCGAGTTCAGGCAGGATAGCCTGGGTTTGAAGCCTCCATGCACATTGATAGAAGTAGTTGCCCCAGGCCGCACTCATATAGAAGTCCCAACAGGCCCCACTCACCGCGGTAGACCCTGAGTTCTCCAGAAGCATTCCCGCGCCAGTCAGTACGGTCCCTGGCGAAGCGACTCATGGGCTCTCATACAGCCGCCTTGCCGTCGCCGTTTATATCCTTCAAGTGACTACTAGGCTTGCCTTTATTGCGTATTAGGAAGAAGATGTATCAGCTCGCACGTCTCCAACACTGGTGCACCAGCATAGGTTGCTCTCTCAGTAGCATGCTGTATATTACGAAATACCTTAACCCAGGTGATACGCTTGTTATACGAGTTGGTGGGGTTTGACATTTTGAGTCGGATCTCGGATGCTCATTGCTCAACCGCAAGCCCGCTAAAGCTTCGCCATAGCCAGATGCTGTCAGGTGGAATGTAGCAATTTCGGCAGTGTCGGGCATCAATTGCCAGGTTTGTAAGGCCTTGAGGAACCCGAATCGTTAGTTAGTTGACGCTTGCCATAGCTCCAGCAATGACGCCGCAAGTCTACAGCCGCTTAGCAATTTGTAAAGGCCGCTTGTGATAATGTTGGAAAACGTCGGCGGACGCATAGCGCGTTTTACTCCTTGACGTCGTGCATGGCCACGCCCAGCATATGTCCATCTGTCAAAAGAGTACTATCAGGCCCCTAACGGCATTCCCACTTCAGCAGTTCCATTTGGCTCATCTCATACTGTGCAAGCCCGGCTTTTTCCCACCTTGGCAACGTGCAAACCGTGTCCTCGCCGCTCCCACCTCCCCTTCAGGCTGGAATCCCTGGGGATTACCTGGGGTTAAAGAGGAAACAACTGACGATCTGCAAGACGAGGCTTCACCATGGCTTGCTTCATGGTACCCAGCCCATCCCTCCCAACCTGATTACCGGGGGGCGCTGCTGGGATGCCAGGTGGGCAGAGGGCTCTCTGCAAGCATCCTCCGCAATGAGAAGAAGCTGTCGGCAAGCTTGCAAGCACCCTGTAGAAAGGTCGGAGGCAGTTGCCTACATGGGACCAGGGTGCTGTGGGGGCGTGTGCTTGTGCACATGAGCTCCAGGCGCCATACGTTCCTTCCCTCCACGAGCCCCATAACACAGGGTACTCACCCACCGGACCCACACACGTACGGCAGCCTTACCCAGCTACTCCGCCCGCCCTACATCCTCGGCATTGCCCGCCTCCTCAGGCGTCAACAGCCCCTAGCTACAGGAGCTGTCCTCGCCCACCCGGACCCCAGGTCACACACAGACAGCTCTAGCAGCTGCTGCAGGCGGCCCTAGTTGAGGCAGCCCGCCGGGGAGCCGCCCAGCTGGTTGTACGGCAGGGGGTTGTGGGTGCCGTACTGGGTGGCACGGCTCGAGGGCGCTGCAGCAGCTGCTCCTGGAGGCGGTGTGGACCTCGCCGGGGGGCTCAGCGGCGCTGGGGGCAGCGCTTAATGTGGAGCCTGGATGTGATCAAGGTGGGAAGAGGGCTGGGGGGCCGGCAGGAGGGGGTCTGGGGGGGCGGCAGGAGGGGGTCTGGGGGGGGGGGGCGGTAGGAGGGGGTCTGGGGGGGCGGCAGGAGGGGTCTGGGGGGCGGTAGGAGGGGGTCTGGGGGGTAGGAGGGGGCCTGGGGGGGGCGGCATGAGGGGCCTGGGGGGGCCGGCAGGAGGGGCGGCACGTAGGCGTGGCGGGGAGCAGCCCCCGTTGGTGTGAGGTTGCGGAGGAGTAAGGACATGGCCTGGCGGAGCGGTTCTGCCCGGCTATTGTACCCCGGTGGAGGTGCCCCACATGGCAGGTGGACCCACACGCCCACCACCATTCAGCAGCGCACCTCCCCTCACGTCTGCCCCAACAACAACAACAACATCCGCAAGCCCTGGCTCGCAACAACGGCAGCGGCAGCACAACCGGCGGGGTGGGCGGTGGATGGGGTGGCCTCAGCAGCGGTGGCGGCGGCCATGCCGCCTCCTCCTCCTCCTCCTCCGGCTCCTCTCCCTGCTGCTGCCCGAGCCTCTCCCATAAAGGGGCGGGCGGGGCTGTGTGGCGGAGGCGGTGGAGATGCTGCGGAGCTGCAGAGGGCTTAGATGCCTGGTAGGGGCCGGGGGGTGGAGGGGGGCTTCTAGGCTAGGTGCGGAGAAACAGTCTAGGGAGGGAGAAAGGAAGGAAGCGAAGAATGGGCGACGAGCGCTTTATCGGTTTGATGACTAAATGACCTGCACGTGGGACCTTCCACCGCCATCACTTACTCGTCATTTGTGGCCCCCTGCCATGTCCTACTCCCATTGCTTTGCCCTAACCTGTGGTTTCCTATGGTTTGGTATGGTCTTTGATCCCCCCCTTGCAATCCATCGCTCCCTCCCCCTTCCGTGCCGCCGTCATACCTGCCCTACAACCACTTAGCAGGTCGGGTTGAGGACGGGAGTTGGCAGGTGGGTCGCTGGGCTGGGGTTGGTCGCTGCTGCATATGGAGTGCACGGCTTAGGCCCGGAGACCGAGTATTGCAGGAATACTGCACTGAAGCAGCTACGTTAGTACTTGCAGTAATAAGCCTGCAGGAAAGATCTATGAGGCGTCACACGCCTTATGCTGACCGCTTCCCTCCTGCTTCCTCTCCCCTGTGTGGCTCCCAAGGGCTTCAGCAGCTGGCGCCCTACCTCCAGGGACATTCGCCGGCTTGCCGCGGTGTATAACCCCGAGGAGCCGTTACCGGGCCATGAGGCCAAGTGGTGGGAGGTGGGGAGTCGAGGGTGACCTCGGAAGTCTGCTTCGGGATTTGAGCAGTAGTCTTCCTCCAGCTGCTGGAAGCCGTGCAGCAGGGGAGCAAGCAAACATGGCAACCCTGTATTTGGGTTGGGGGGCAACAGGGAAGTGGTTTGGCTCCAGGACGAAGGAATCATCACCACCACCGCCACTACCCTCCACCGCCACCACCACCCTCCACCGCCATCTTCCCCCCAGGTCGCTGAGCTCTACAAGGCAGACCTGTCCCGCAACTCCCTCACCTCCCTGCCAGCCGAGATCGGCACGCTAGCCACACTCACGCACCTGGACGTCAGGTAGGCCGGGGTTGAGCTCAGACGACCCGATTGTCTTGCAGCCTATTGCAGCCTGTCCGGACGCTCCTTACCCAGCCCGACCCAGATCACCATGGGCGTCATGAGACCAGATGGCTGCCAGTAAAAGCTGTTTCCAAGCTTCGGAACTCCGACCTCTAAGCGCCTCCCGAACCTGCACTCCCTTCCAACCGCAGTCACAACCAGCTGGCAGAGCTGCCCATGACGCTGTCGATGCTCTCCTGCTTGAAGGTACGAAGGGAACAGTGAGGGGTAAGTGCACGGATGCTGCTTCAACCAGCAGCCCTAAGCCCTAAAACCCTAAACCCTAATCTCATCATGTGGCTTGCTCGCCGCTTGTGGCTACGCGTCCTGCCAAGCATGTCGCCTTCACTCGTAACACCAACTGAACTGCAGACACGTCCTTGACCCCTGCCTTTGCCCTTGGCTCGGCGCCCCCACTCCCCCAACTAGCTCTTGGACGTCTCCTCCAACAAGCTGCAGGTGGGTGGCGGCCCCTGGGGGGCTACCGGCACCCCTAGGGCAGGGTGCAGCTAAAACCACCTGGCACAGCTCGGGGCGCTCCTTCATGTGCCTTCCTTCCTTCCCTCCTAGATTCCAGTCGCACCCACACTGCCTCCCCTCCTGCAACTCCACTAACCCCCACCTTCCCCTCCCAGGAGCTCCCTCCCACCCTAGCCGCCCTGCCCGCCCTCGCCGTGCTGCACGCCGGCAAGAACGCCCTGCCGCGACTCCCCCCGGGCTGGGCGGCCGGCAGCAGCCCTCCCTGGCGCTGCTCACGGCGCCTGACAACCGGCTAGAGGAGCTGCCTCCTGGGCTGAGTGAGGCGGGCAGCTTGACAAGGCTGGACCTGGCGGGCAATGCGCTAGTGGAGCTACCGGGGCTGATCATGCCGGGGCTGAGGTGCGCGCATGCATGTACGGCAGGGCGGGGGCTGAGAGGGTGCAGGAGAGGGAGAGAGGGGTGGTGGGGCTGGGCTTGGATACGCGGGTTGCGGGGCATGGAGCTTGGGTGTGGGTTGGAGAGGAGGTAGGTGGCGGGGAAGTGAACAGAAGAGAGGAGAGGACAGTGGGAATGAGGGATGCGTCTTCCCCACCTCCCCCTCCTTTGCACCCTTCTGCCCCGCCCGGACCACTGCCCTAAACTATCCACCTTACAACTATCCTTAACCCCCAAACCCGCCTCCCAACCCAGCTCCCTGGCCGATCTGGACCTCTCCCGCAACCGGCTGCGCGGGCAGCTGCTGCGGGAGGTGGGGCTGCTGGTCCGCCTGCGCTCCCTCAACCTGCGGGACAACAAGCTGGCGGGGCTGCCGCCCAGCATCGCGGGCTGTACGGCACTGGTGGAGCTCTACCTGGGTGGGTGGGATGAGGGGTGAAAGACCACAGGAAACCACAGGTTAGGAGAAAACAACGGGGATAGGAAGCGGCAGGGTGCCACACTACAGAGCGTTGGTTAGTACTCAAAAGAGGTGATGGGTGCGCCAGGGTGGTGCGCCCGGATAGGGGCAGCCGGCAGTCCGCCAGCCCCGACTCCCGCAGTCCAGCTGTCCAGAACCCCGCTGGACCGCACCCCTACCTCCCCACCCCACCCCTCATTCCTCCGTCGCCTGCATCGCACGCAGGTCGCAACCAGCTGTCCTGCCTGCCCCCCGAGCTGGGCCTGCTGGAGGCGCTGCGGACCCTGGAGCTGCGGGACAACAGGCTCACACAGCTGCCGGCAGAGGTGGGGAGGCGGGGAGCGGGGGAGGTGGAGGAGTTGGGGTAGGAGAGGCGGGGCAAGCGGTGAAAATGGGATTATGGGCGGTGCTAACCGGCTCATGCAGCTGCCGCCCCATGTTGTGAGGTGGGCTTGGGCGTACTGAAGGGCACAAGGAGCCGTGCTGCGCTGGAAAGGCGCTGACGCCCTGTTGCCTCCCCCTCCTCCCTCCCGCAGCTGTGTGACCTGAGGCTGGGACTGCTGGACCTGGCCAACAACGACCTCAGATCCCTGCCGGCGGAGCTGGGTGAGGAGCTGGGGGGGGGGGTGAGGGGAGAAGGGGCTTGTGAAGGCGTGCGTGGGGAAAAAAGAAATTCCAAAGTGTGGTATGATAATGATACAAGTTGCTGACAATCCCTGGTGGAATCAACCGTGAGTCGAGCCGAAATGGTGGTTAAAGCAATGCGAGCTAAACTTACCGAACTTACCAATTATGGAGCAACCTTACCATAGTCTTGGGCATGTGTGGAGGCTGCTGAAGGTGAGCTGGAGACCCACCGCGCCGTTGGGCAAAGGCAAACAACAGGAACAGCACAACACGAGCACGCATGAAAAACAACACAGACTGACACACGATAAAACACGTACCTGCGTGCACAGGATATGTGCACCATGAGACATGTCCATGGCAAGCCGCCAGGACCATGGAGTAAGTTAGGTTGAGGCGAGTTGGTAGCGATGTCCAGCGGAGAGCCAGATATGCGGAATGAGGCAAGGAAAGCGAAAGGGGAAGTTAAGTATAAGTTAAAGAGGACGATGGTGAAGATGCGAACAAAGAAGTACTAAGGTAAGCCTAAGACACGAGACGACACGACTAGGACGGCGCGGTGGGGTGTATGGGGATGGAATAATGGCGGAAGGTACAAATAGGGACGGAATTGGTGAAAAGTACGGCATATCGGGAACAAGGCATGATGTGCAGTGATAAAGGGGCACAACGTGATACTGTGACGTAGGGTGCGGTCTGCGCACAGATCCCCATCCCCCTACGATACACCGGGAAGGCCACCGCAGTGTAGCCAACCCAGTAATGCATTCGTAGGGCGGGTTGGTCCTAGTTGGGTGTGCACGGGTAAGTGGAAAGTTGAGGAAGCGTAGGGGACGGAGACAACCCATAATACTCCGGATACGTCCGGCGTGAAGGGCCTTGTGCAACCGATGGACGGCCCCGCGAACGCCCGAACGGCGCTGGCCGTATATCAGGAGCGCCAGCCGGACGGTTGGAGTCCACGAGAAGCATAATCTGTCACCTGTGACTGGTGGGAGGCTGCCGCGGGAGAAGATATAAGACAGAACTACAGGGGGAACAGGACTACAGGCCTAACCCGCCCACCGTTCCCGCGCATAAATGTGTACTACCAGGCCTTTTTAACAGCCATCCTAGATCCTAAACAACCTAACATGGCAAGTGGAGGCGGGTCGCGACCGACATCCTGCGTGCGTGGGGGGGGGGAGGGGCAACCGATGGACATGGGGCCAGGATCGCATGCAAGGCGGGTCCGGTGATGAGGGTGTTACCGGTATCTACCTGCTACCCGTGCCCTTTCCTCGTGCTGGCTGCCCCTCCTTGTTTCTGCTGCCTCGGTTGTCTCATTGCGCCCACCCTGCCACCCCCGCACAGGCTCCATGACCAGCCTGCGCAGTCTGCCCCTGGACGGCAACCCGCTCCAGAGCATCCGCAGGGAGCTGGTGGCAGGTGAGGGCACGGGGCTTTGGGCTCAGGTGTGTGAGGTCAAATAACAAGCGCGCTTGGATACCCGGCTGTTCCTAAACACCCACCTTCCATCCAACTACCCGCCCCCTGCTTGCCTGCCTGCTATATGTCCCCTTGTGATATGTTTTCCATTTGGTGCTCTCCTCCTGTCGACCGCCCTGCAGGCCCCATCTCCCAGTTGCTCAAGTACCTGGCCAGTCGGCAAGCTGACCCCGATGCCGCAGCCGGGCCCCCCGCCGGTCCGCCGACCCGCTTGGGCGCCCTGCACTCCGCCTCCGCTGCCCGATCAGGCAACGTATTCGGTTTGGACGGCGCAGAAATGGCGGCGGAAGCGGCGAGGAAGCTCAAGCTGGGTGGCGTGGCGGCGGCGGCCGCTGCCGCCGCTGGCGGTGGCGCCGCAGGCGCCGGCTACGGCAGAGGTGGCGGTGGTGGTGGAGGCGCCGGCGGCGGCGGCGGTGGAGGAGGGGAGTTACTGTTGGCACGTGCTGGGTTGCGTGAGGTGCCTGCGGAGGTGTGGGACGCGGGTCCCAGCCTGACGAGGCTAGACCTGAGCAGCAATCAGATTCCGGTGCTGCCGCCGCCGCCCGGGGGGCTGTGTCGGCTGCCCGGGCTGCGGTGCCTGCTGCTGAATGGCATGGGGCTGACTGCATGGCCGCTGCCGGTGGGAGTGCCGGGGGCACTGCCAGCGTTGACAGAGCTGCAGGTGGGCGGGAGTGTCCCATGGGTCGGTGTCGACTGCAACTTGATTCCCAGTTCTCCTGCCTGTGTCCTGACACCTCTTTTCGCATCGTCCTGAACGCCTGAACTGCTTCCCAGGTTCGCAACAACCCGGCGTTACGGCAGCTGCCGCCCAACCCGTTCGCCGCATGCCCGGGGCTTGTACGCCTGGAGTTGGCAGGTGGGTCGCTGAGCTGGGCGGTGGCTGCTGCATGCGGGTGCGCGACTGGGTGTCGAAGGCCAAGAGATGCAAGATCCTTACAACGAAAGCAAGTGCGGGTAGGAGGGTCTAGGAGGCGTCGTACGCCTTACGAACCAGTCGCTCATGTCAACCGTCACCCCCTGCTTCCCCCCCTCCTGCTCCCTCCTGCATGGCCCCCAGGTGCACCCGCTGCCGGCGCTCTGACTCCGGGCTGCTTCGCCGGCCTGCCAGCGCTTGAGGTGGGTGCTGTTGGACACTCCACACTTGAGACAGTACCGTATGGTTGTTTACAAGGAACGCATGCATCTCTACTATCAGCCTAGGCCGCACCTCGGCTCCCCACCCTGCTGACCTGGCAGGAGCCCCACCCGCCCTGCCCCCCAACCCCGTCCCGTCCTGTCCGCGCACCTGAGCCAGACGGGTCTGCCCGCCTTCCCCGTCGAGCTGCTGCAGCTGCCGCGGCTGCGGGTGCTGCTGCTGGCGTCCAACCGACTGGAGCAGCTGCCACCCGAGGTGGCCAACATGACAAGGTAGGTGGGGGGGGGGGCATGGGGGCTAGGACCGGGTGACCAATTGTGACCCAGTTAAGGGACCCGGGTCGTGCCATCGGGGGGGGGGGGGCAGGCAGCCAACGTTACCAGCGCGTGGGTGCCTGCTAGCGAGGCAGCGTTGGGTATCGTAGGGCTGGGATTAAGCATGGAAGCTTGGAAAGGCGTTTTAGACACCCTAACCATGGTTTCTGTAATCTCCTTAACACCTCCTCACTCTTCCCAACACTCTCCCTGCCCCATCCATTCCAATCCCCCCATTTTTGGCACCCTATATCCCAACATTTACCTCCCTCCCTCCCCCCTCTCTCAGGCTTGAGGAGCTCCACCTGTGCAACAACAGCCTGGCCTCGCTGCCCCCGCAGCTGGGCCTGCTGGGCTCCTCGCTGCGCTCGCTGGGGCTGGAGGGCAACCCGCTGCGCACGCTGCGGCGACCCATCCTGGAGCGAGGCACGGCGGCGGTGCTGGCTTACCTCAAGGACCGCATACCGGCGACGTAGTGCAATGACAGGAGAGGGATGTGGTAATGACGGCGACGGTGGTGCAGGTGGTGGGATGTGGATGGTGGTTAAATGGTTTTGGCAGTGTTGGGGCACGGCATGCAGCGGGGGTTTCACTGAGTGGGGTATGGGTGAGTGATGGTGTAGCTTGTGTATTGCATGTTTATGCAAAAAGAGGATTGGGCGGGGGTGGAGTTTAAGGGCTTGGTTTGGCGATGGAGGGCTTTGGGGCGTGCGGCTGGTTGTACGTAGGGTGCAAGGGGTGTTGGGCAAAGGCTGCGCTCCCTGCAGGATTTCGGTCTTTCTTTAAAGGGCTCACCAGGGCTCACGTCGCAATTCGCCCTGCTGCAGCGAATCCCGGCCATACCATGGCCCCCTGCAGCTCTCACTCCTCGCACAGCATCCACCTTTAAGCGGTGATACCTCTAGGTCGAGCACCGGGAGCGGACCATTGCTGGCCCGGCTGGAATGTGGGCGGAGCCACCCCGTACGGCCACACCCGCTGCCAGCTGCTGTCTTCGGCCTTACACCACCTGCAGCACTAGCAGAAGCAGCCGCATCCATGGCGGAGCACATCAACCATTCCGGTAGCAAATGCTGCTTCTGCTGGGCTTTCAGGCTATGGCTGCTGGTCGCACCATTGCACTGTTGCACATCATATACCCATAGTTAAATTGGTAAAACGACAGACTGACGCGAAGGCTCAGGGTGCGAAAAAATTACTCTCCCAAAACGAAAAAACCACGGCCCATAGGGTACGGGTACAGTTACGGCAGGTAACGTACGGACGCAGTGGGGGTGGCAGTTGCAGTGCCAGATGCACGGGATAATTTTCTGGGATTGGGTCAACCCTTCCGGCGGCATTCCCAACATAACTGCCGGCTCCGGTTCCGACTCTGCAGCAGGCAGGAGCAGGAAAGTTGTCAGCACAGGGGCACATGTAGCACACCAATGAACACATGCAGAGGGCGTCGAATGCGCAGGGTCGCTGGCCATCCCACAACACCTTTCAGGTGCTCGCCTATCCATATTGTCTATCCACCGCTCCTCTTCTGTCACCTACCCTCAACCACAACAGCCGCGCTTCTTACCTGCTACCCACGCTGCCGTTACCCTACCCACATTCGTAGGCAACGGGTTTGTACGTCACCCGCCCCCCACGGCCGTGCACCGCCCCCCACGGCCGTGCACCGCCCCCCACGGGCTGTTGGAGGCTGGTGTGACACAACGCGCTTTTCTTTCTTTCTTGCGGTTCGACTTGAAAGTAGGAGTCTTTTCGTTATATGGAAGGAATAAGGGCCCTGTTCGCCTCGCATGTCCAACCGGTATTTGTCACAACGAGCCCAACAAGTCTCGAGAGCAAGATTCGGGTGCTAAGCACTGATGCGCACGGTGCTGCGCTTAGAGACCACAAGCTGCGGCGGGACAGGTGCTTACGAGTCCAGTGTCGACCGATGTACGACAGCACCGGTAACTGGGCTGCCAGCCCTGGCAAGCAGATCAGCTCAACTAGAAGGCTGAGCATTTGAACATATCGTTTACAAATTGCCCCATACTTCCACTGGAGCTGTTCACCCGAGGTATCCAAAAGTACGGTTGCCCGTGTCACACCCACCCTCCAGCCAAGCAGGCCATTACCTCGGCAAGCAACCCAAGATAACCCTACCCCTCTCTATCAAGCGCTAGTCACAGTCATATGCATCGACCCTAAACCGCCCACTACACCTAAATCGAGGAACACGCAACGCCAGCTCCAACACAGCACTACTACACCCGCTCTCGCTCGCTGCCCCAAGGCGCAGGCCAGCTCCCATACCCCAAGCCACTAGATGCACACCGGCTCACGAGCGGCAGCAACCCATCCACACGCCGGCAAGAATATAACCCCTTACGGTCTTCCCTCATGTCCTCAGAGGAAAGGAAATAAACCATAGCTAACACCCATCCCGTGCCTTCGTCGGAGCATTCACCACCGAAGCCTCCGTACACATGTGACTCTTAAGTAGGCACCGCAAGCGAGCGTTGAAGCGACTTGGGAGCTTATAAAGATCCTGTTGCCGACGTGTGACCTGATTTTGTAAATATTCTGTTAGCAGGGCGCTAACCTTCTTTCGAGAAGCACGCAAGCTCCATACACACGTAGCACAACACGGAGGGGAGTCGAACCAAATTCAAAAAGCGGCTCCTACGCGGACGCGCAAGCCACACACTGTCCGCCGAACAAACGCAAATAATCTGGATACACCGGAAGGCAAGGCAAACCAAAGCCCAACTTGCCACAGCGCTCGGCGCAACCACAGCGCCGAGAGAGTGGCTGAGAGGCCCAAAAGCTGGCGGCAACGACGCACCTAAAGCCATCAGGGCCTCTTCCAAAAACCAACCGGGGAGTCTCTCTAGTCGTCTCTTATCATACCACACGGCAAGCCGACGGCAGCAGGTGGTACACCATTACGAGAGAACCAACCGCGTCGCATGCTAAGCCTTCTCTCACTCGCAATTCTCCAGGCCACGTCAGCAGCATTCGAAACATATACCCACACCAATCCAACGGGATATCTACCTAACCACCAAGAGCCTCATCAAGCTCAGCTTACATGAATACCGCTTTATCCGTTCTCATCCATGCCCTTCACTTTACAAGCCTCGTCCACAGCCTTGCAGCCAAGCGACATGGCCACGTTCCCAGGTGGCATCAGGTCGCTCTAGCATGCAAGCAGCGAGCGAGTACTCCTCTCTCGTCCTGCTGCTGCCTTTACTTGCCGCGCAGGTCCACCAGCACCTGAACGACCCCTGGGTCGGCCAGGGTGGAGGTGTCGCCCAGCTGGTCCTCCTCCTTCGAGGCGATCTTGCGCAGCACTCGCCGCATGATCTTGCCGCTGCGGGTCTTGGGCAGGCCGGGAGCCTGAGCGAGGGGCGGAGCAGGGAGGCGTGAGGTACAGGATTATAAGTTAGAGGGATGGTTGGGCCAACAGCAGTGCGCAAGTCGTTGGGGCAACCGCGTCAACTCCTTTTCCAGTATCGCACCATAAACCACCCCACCTCCCGCCCAATCCCCCACCCGGCCTCCTCACCCAGTGGATCACGTCGGGCGCCGCGAACGCGCCAATGGTGTTGCGCACCGCCGCCACCAGCTCCTTCTTGAGCTCCTTGCTGGTCTCAGTGCCCTCCATCAGCGTCACGTACGCGTAGATGCCCTGCCCCTTCACCGGGTGGTCGTAGCCCACCACCGCCGCCTCCGCGCAGGCGGGGTGCGCCACCAGCGCCGACTCCACCTCGGCGGTGCCGATGCGGTGGCCCGACACGTTGATGACGTCATCCACCCGGCCCGTGATCCAGTAGTAGCCGTCGGCGTCGCGGCGGCAGCCGTCACCGGTGAAGTAGTACCCCGGGAAGGGCCCAAAGTAGTTGGACTGGTAGCGCTCGTGGTCGCCGTACACGGTGCGCAGGGTGGAGGGCCAGGGCTGCGCAATGGCCAGCACGCCCTCGCACTCGCCCTGCAGCTCGTTGCCCTTCTCGTCCAGCACGGCGGGGCGCACGCCGAAGAAGGGCAGCGTGGCGCTGCCGGGCTTCTCCGTCCAGGCGCCCGGCAGCGGGGTGATCATGTGGCCACCCGTCTCCGTCTGCCACCAGGTGTCCATGATGGGGCACCTGAGGAGGGCAGGAGGCAGAAGGGCGGGGCGGGAGGTGAAGGACATGCATACCACTCCTCGTGCATGTGTTATCGTGCTGCCCCGCCCCATGCCCCTGCCTTTCCCTCAGCTGTCCTCTGCTGCATCCCCATGCCCCATCCCAGCCCCCCCGCCTCCAATCCCCTCCCCTCCCCACTCACTTGCCCTTGCCGACCACCTGGTTGTACCAGCGCCACGCCTCCGGGTTGATGGGCTCGCCCACGGAGCCCAGGATGCGCAGCGAGGAGAGGTCGCACTGCTCCACCCACTGGTCGCCGAAGCCCATCAGCGAGCGGATGGCGGTGGGAGCCGTGTAGAACTGCGTCACGCGGTGCTTGGCAACCACCTCCCAGCAGCGGGCAGGGGTGGGGTGCGTGGGCACGCCCTCGAACACGATCTGGGGGGTGGTGCGGAGAGAGGGTGACAGTGTGGGGGTAAGCACGGTTGTGCGCTATGTGGGGCCAAGTAGCCGTGTCCTGGCGTGTCAACACGTTCACAAGGACTTCCTTTACAAAGGTATCTATTAGCAGGCCATGCGGTTCAGGTTAGCAAGGTGTGTTTGGAGCCACGCAAACCAGGCAAGCAAGTCCGTCTCAGCCTCCCTGTCCACACACACGCCCCCGCACCTGCGTGGCTCCGTTGAGGAGGGGTCCGTAGGCGAGGTAGGAGTGTCCGGTGATCCAGCCGCAGTCGGCGGTGCACCAGTACACGTCCCCGCGCTGCAGGTGGAACACGTGGCGCATGGTGGTGGCGGCGTACACCATGTAGCCGCCAGTGGTGTGCAGCACACCCTTGGGCTTGCCTGCAGTGACGGGGTTCAATGGTTCAAGCACGATGCGGATGGGCGCTAGGGCTCCTGGCTACGAGCACATGAGAGGATGTGAAGCACCCCTAAACAACGGCACCCGCAGCAGCAACCCCAGCAGCTGCGACTCCGGCCTTCCTCTTCTTACCGGTGGATCCCGAGGTGTACAGCAGGAAGAGCGGGTGCTCCGCCTCCACCCACTCCACCGGGCAGTTGGTGGACTGCTGCGCCACCTCCGACTGCCACCAGCGGTCGCGGCCGGCAGTGAAGGGGCAGTCAACGGCGGGCACGGCGTTGTCGTTCTCGTACACCAGCACATGCTCCACCTGCAAGGTAGTGTGTGGGGGGAGAGGTGTTTCGGAAGGCGTAAAGAGGCCGCCGTGGTATGTGGGGACGATATCCGAGAACGAGTGGTCAGGGCTAAGCCCAGCTGCTGCCATGCGACTCCATGCATTCGCCGTTTGGGGACAGAACGCAGGCTCGCCCAGGGGATGCGGTGTGCCCTCCGGGCCCCTCATGACAGCCATTCCTTCTCACCGTGTGCCCCGCCTTGGCGCACAGGTCCAGACCCTTGTCCGCAATCTTCTTCAGGTCGATCTTCTTGGGACCGCGCATCACACCGCTGGCAGTCAGCAGCACCTGAGGTGTGAGGAAAGGGGGGGAAAGGACGGGAGGAACGGGTGACCGCATGTGAGGATAGACAAGGGTACGGCATGCACGCGTCGTAAAAACAGCTTGGTTACCTAAGCCTAAAAGACGTCTAGCTACAAGCTGCCACCGCCACCCCAGGTCCGTCTGACTCACCTTGGCCTTGCAGTCCTCCATGCGCTGCGCCAGCGACTCGGCGCTGAAGCCGCCGAACACGACGCTGTGCACCGCGCCGATGCGCGCGCACGCCAGCATGGCCAGCGGCAGCTCATTCAACATGGGCATGTAGAGCGCCACCGAGTCGCCCTTCTTCACGCCCACGGAGCGCAGCCAGTTGGCCTGGGGTTGGAGTGGCGTGGGGTTGTTGAGGTGCTGGTGTTACAGGGTAAGGGGCTTGGATGGGGACTGCACTGCATGCATGCATCTCGATTCGGTTGTCGGGCAGCGATGGGGCAGGGGTTAGGGAGAAGGAAAGCAAGGCACCGTTGGTGTATCAGCCGAGTGGCCTTTCCGGGTGTTTGCTGGCGTCTCCAGATCCTACCAGGTGTGCCACGGAGGCATGGCACGTACAGTTATGGAGGTGTCGGACCCAGATCCCACATGCGCAAACTCACCAGGCGGCAGACCTCATCCAGCGCCTCCTTGTAGGTGAGCGTCTTATCGCGGTCCACATCGTTGCCCTCCCAGATGAGGCACACGTCCTCACCGTGCCCGGCAGCTACGTGGCGGTCCAGGCAGTTGTAGGCGATGTTGGTGGTGGCGCCGCGGAACCACTCGACCGAGATGGGGCCCTTGCGCACGTCAAAGTTGTAGTGCATGTGGTTGGGCTCCCACTGCGTGGATGAGATGGGAAGGTGGTTGGGGGGGTTAATGGAGGCGGTGAGGAGGAGGCGGTAGTGGGGAAGGGTAGGAGGAGGGTTAGGAGAGGAGGTGGATGGGGAGGAGAGCGGGCATGCGTGTCATGGTATCGACAGCGGCAAGGCCCCGCAGCTGCCCTCTTTTAGACCCTAGGAACAGGGCTAGGGTTACTGGAATGGTGCAGCACGGTGGGCACACGAGCGCAGCGACGGTGCTTGCCTTCTTCTCCCAGTGGAACTGCTCAGCGATTTCCCCCCAGAAGCCAGCTGGGTCCTCGATACTTTGCTTGTACAGGGCCATGTACTGCGGGCAGGAGCAGGGCAGACGATAGCAAGCGCAGGGAGCAGGCGCAGGCCCGTTAGCAACATGGTATATCAGCCTTGTAAGGGAATGCAACGAAAAAGGAGCGCATGCGCGCATGCTGCCTTTTGCTTATTGATGTTTGGATAGGCAGCCCCACCAAAGGCCCCGACTGCCTCGGTCACGTCAAGTGTGTTAACGCTCGTGACGGTTAGGGAATTTGTGTACGCTGGGCTGAGGTAAGACCAAGTAACCAAGATAACGTCATGAAAGGCCTTGCATGCTGAAGGACTAAACTTTCAGCTGACTTCTGCGGCCTTAAGAAACTAACCAACTTGCCCTTCGGCGCCACTACACAACCGAAGTGTGCATACCCAGATGTAAGGAAAAGGGTGCATGCTTTAAATCTAGGTGCATGCGCGTGGGCGCAACTGCCAAATAAGCCGTGGAGGCATGGACAGTTAGGGGCCCAGGTAGTCGACGACATAAAATATAAATCATGTAGCCCATTATGCCCTACATCTGTAAAACATTTCATATTGCGCATTTCTGCGCAGCGATGACCCCCGACAACACGGCGATTATAGGATCAGCCTCAACGGCCTGGACCGGACACGCCGCGCACCTACCTGCTCCTTATTTGATACAAATTCCTTGTTCAAAATGGAAGCGGTTTGCGTTGGCGCCTCAGCAGCGGCAACGCGGCAAGCCACTCCCTACACGAGGGAGAGTATTGTAAGCGGTCGTCAGCCCAGCCGATCGCGAGGCCCAAAAGTAAACGCTAGTTACAGAAAGTCATAAGCTTGCTTGCGTATCGACTCACCTGAGGCCTCCTGCAAGGAACGCGCGAAAACGCATGCTGCGGTGATGCGTAGCCTGCGGCGCCGGCAAAGCTGTAAGTGATTATGGAGTGCATCAATAGTGGTTAACCAAGCTAAAGCTCACCCCAGCCGCCACGGCGTTGCTGCTGATGCGCCTGCAAAGTCCTTTGCAGCTGCATGGTTATCAAAGACTGCGCAAGTGAAGTATGGCGTTGATGTCGACAACTGTAGACCTATATATAGAAGGTATACAGGCGACAACACCGTTGACGTTGCGACTGAAAGCAGATCAATATATGTCCGGCAAAGTTTATCCGTATAATAAGCACTTTCCAATGAGGAGTGATTACTGGCGTTTAGCTTAACGCTACAGCGCCTCTATGCATACTGAAACACCATGTAAATCTCAATTGGTAAGTACACGCAAAATTGGGACCCACTAAGAAAGGGACCAGAGTCGTTATGCCGCGTCACTGCCGACCTGGCGCCTCAAATATCGTTACATCCCTCCAACGTTCGCTCTATGAGCTCAACACAGTGCCCTATGCTTTTGCCATCGCTCATGGCGCGGGCGAGGTCGTCGTGTAGTCGGACATGTCGTCGCAACATGCTGGCGCAATTCAGCACTGCCCAACGGACTTCCCCGTCGGCCTTCTTCTGGCTGAACTGTGGAAATGAAAACATAGAAAATATTTAAGACTTTCAGATGATCTCTTTGTTGTAAAAGAGAAACGGACAACGAAACGACAGGCAAGGCTACTGCGATAGTCGCCAGTTAGTTCAGTCTCAATCTCTCCCCTGTCCGTAACGGGTCACTGTTTGGGTTGGTACAGACTGCCCACTGTTCCAAGCGCTGGCGGCCTCATACTGCTATCCCGCAAGCCCACCCAGCCCACCCCTTCGCTCCTCCACACCTGCAGCGCCCTGAAGAGCCCGTCCAGCTGCTGCACGTCCCCCAGTCCGCCCTCCGCCACTCCGAAGCGCAGGTACTCCGTTACCACTCCCGCAAGCGCCACACAGGTGTACCTGGCGGAGGGGAGGCGCAAAAAAGGTGCCAGATGCTAATCCGGCATGTCCGGATAAAGCATGGGGTCATACACGGCTCTAAATGCTAACCGAAGTTACGAAAGAAAGGATGAGTTGCTGTGGAAAGCAAAGCCTGCACGCCACGCACTGCTGCTCAGTTCATGACACAAGCCCGCCCGTACCTCTCCAGGCTGCTGGCCTTGAGCTTGCCACCCGCCACCTCCGCAGCGAACTCGGTGTCGCAGAACCGCGTGCCCGCCTGGATGTTGAGGGCGCGATACCTGCGGTACGGCAGGCGCCCAAGGATGGTATCGCTGCCGTACGACATCAGCGTCCGGTGTGTGTGCTAGGCAAGACATCGGTGGATGGTGCCTTACCACATCACCAGCCTCACATCTGCTCCCACTTACATCTCACCACAACTAAGCTGAAAGCACCCCACCAGACCTAAGATGAACGCTCCTCAGGAGGACACATGAGCGCACGCACGCACCTCAGCAATGCGTCCAGACTGCCCAGCGTGTATGCCCGCGGCAGCAGCCCCAGCAGGTACGCCACCAGCAGGTGCCCCGCCTCGTGCAGCGCCACACGCCGGGCGTACGAGGGACGCAGCACCCGACCCAGCCAGTCCACCAGCAGCGCCTCGCCGCCGCCGCCGTTGAGAACCTGGGAGGAGAGGTAGGGGGGAAGGATGGGTGGGTGACCCATGGGTCGGAGCCGGGGTGCTGATCCATAGGCGGGTGACCAGCGGAGTGACGTTTTGACGATGACCCAGATCTTGGCCGTACCTGATCGACTCCCAGTACGAGCACAGCGCCGAACAGCGCCGCCAGGACCTCCCCCGGACTCCACTGGTTGGTCCATGTGGCAGCCGCCAGGCCTGCTGCCGCTGCCCCCTGCGCCACTGTGCGCACGAAGTTGAGCGAGGTGTCCTGCGTGGAGGGCGGGGTTGCGAAACACAGATGGCAGCATGGTAGTGGCTGTGGTGTGCGATTTGGGTTAAGCTGTGTGGGGTTTCGTGCCGGGCCCCCTCCCTTGCAAGCAAACACCAACCCGTGCCAGTCCATGGAGCTGTACTTCCGCTACCATAGGCCCCCGGCCACATTCCTAACACCCCATGGTTCAGTTCTGTTTGCGGTGTGGCTACCCCTACTACCTTGGGGCTTAGCATCTTCTCCGCCTCTATTCGGTTCAACCTCAACTCCTCAATGCTGTACAGCCGCTTGGGCACCTGCCGGCCCGCTCCAAACCCACGCAGCAGCCCCAGCTCCCGGCCGCGAACCGCTAACGCAATGGCAGCCGCCTCCGCGCGCCGAGAGGCCTCGCTGTCGGATGCCGTCGCTGCTGTACGCAGTAGCTCGTCCAATTGCCGTACGAGGTCGGCTAGGTCGGCTGGGTCGCCGGGTCCGCGTGGGGATGGCGGCGACGGTTGTTGGGGTGCAGTGTCTGAGCTATCGAAAATGGATACGGATGTGGTGAAGGGGGACTCCTGGGGAGGTGGATGCATGGCGACATGGAAGGATGATCCGGTAATAGGGTACAAATGGAGCGGAAGTGTCAGGCAAGGGTTGTTTGCTGTGCGGGATGGCTTGGAAGAAAGAACTCGCGTGCGGCCCAACTGCATGCAGATGGGGACCGGGGGTGCAATGGGCTAGCAGTATGTATGTCTAAGTGTGGGACTGCTTGGCAGTACACAACGGGTGATGTGACCTGCTTCTGTGATTTCCTGCTGCGTCATGGTGCATGACATTTCCCGCTGCTGACCAGGATAGCGGTTGCGGGAGGGCAACGGCACCTCCATCAGCCCAAGCGCTGAGTATCCTGCCAGTCGCGCTCGTCTAAGGTCTCACCTGTCCTGATGACGAGCATGCAAACGGCTGTGCCCTTAAAGAGCGCATGACCCGTCGCATTGGACAGTTGGCCCTCGTGACCAGACAAACCCTTCCATGCAAACTGTAAGTGGCATATTTAGGCTGTGAAGTTATCGAGCAGCTGGACTGGAACGAACTGGCCATCTGCAACCACCAATAGCAACACTTGCAACCGCACGCAAATGTCAGGAATGTAACTCCTTCCCCTTCAAGTGTTTGGAGGGATGAATGGCTATGGGTATTCGTCTGTGAACCACTGTATCAACGTTGGTTCCTGTCAGTCGGCATTGGTTTCGTAGCGCTCCGCTTACCCGTCATTGGCTCCTCAGGTAGCTCGCTGCTGCACGCTTTCTTTAAATAACGATTAACCAAGTAGAGGTTAAAAACCTATAGGAATTTCGTCCTGTCTATTTACTGTCTCCTGGAATGCGCAGCTGAAGTCCCGAAGGCAAGGAAAATTTTGCAAATAGTCACGTTTTGTTTATTAGGATACCTTCATTTCGGCTTGCTGTGCTTTTTTTCAGCAGCTGGCCCAGGTGGCCAGGGCAGGTCCTACCGTGGGGTCCTACTAAGGCGGAAGGGCGCTACCAGCAATAGCATAGCATCTGAAGGTAACAGGTGTCATCTACTATGTTTTACTGTGTAAGCAAAGGTCCATGAGCATCGGACCTTGACTTAGGGGGCGTGTTCTTGTACGCAGATGTCCTACCTTCTCCCCCACTTGCACAGTGGCTATGCTGTCGACCAGGCCATCCTAGCTGAGGAGGACCGGGTGGTGATTATCCGCTTTGGACACGACTGGGAGGCCAACTGTATGCAGATGGACGAAGTGCTGGCATCCGTCTCAGACCAGATAAAGAACTTCGCGGTCATCTTCTTGGTGGATATCACCGAAGTTCCCGACTTCAACACCATGTATGAGCTGTACGACCCTTGCACAATAATGTTCTTCTTCAGGAACAAGCACATTATGATTGATCTGGGGACGGGTAACAACAACAAAATTAACTGGGCCATGACGGATAAGCAGGAGTTCATTGATATCGTCGAGGTGGTGTACCGCGGGGCGCGGAAGGGGCGTGGTCTGGTGGTGTCTCCCAAGGACTATTCCACGAAGTACCGGTACTAGGCGAGGGGATCATCCCCGGTGGCTTGTTCCATTTGGGTCATCATTTCGTACCGCTGTCTATTGGAAGGAGGGAAGGGGAGCAGGGATTGTGTTTGTTGCTGAGCGCAGGTGGGAATTGCAGCGGGGTGAGTGTGGTTGGTACGGTGGTCCTTGGTGCTGGAATGTTTCCTTTCGCGCTCTGGTAACACTACGAACTATCTGGTTGTGTTGCATCTACGTAGGACTATTTGTCCGGACAAAGGTTGCGGCTCCTGTTAACGGTCAGTAGAAAGGGGTTCTTAATGCGGCTGCACGGGCTGTCCCCGGCTGTGTCTTTAGCGGGTGTCATTCATGGTGCATATGACCTGCAAGCAGTTGTTAGATAGCGAAGTAGCAGGGTAGCACCCGTTCGCTTGGTAAGTTCTGGACCCGTGGGCCGTGCTATCTCCACCTCGCGGTTTGCGTTAATATGACAGAACCAGCATTCGCGTGGAAAATGCGTGACCGTGGCCTCTGTAAATGCTATCACTGAAACTTAGCTAGTGCGGTTGACGTCAGCGACAGGCACGGGTACGCTGCGCAAAGTCTACCCTAATGAACGCGCTTGAAGCTTCATTGTTTACATGTCCTTGTCATCATTCTCTTCAGCAACGTTTGCGGCGTATAGTGGACCGGGGCGTTAACTTGCTTTGCGTAGAAGCAGAGTTCTATCCCTCTTCGTTTCTCTGTAAATCTCTATATGGCATCCTTTTATAACCTGATACGTGCTTAGAAGGGGACATGTACTCCAACCGGCTATACGGGCATTCTCATGGGTTGTTCATGGGCCCTCCATCCATCAACTCAGACATTTCGCAAGAAAGACGGTAAACAGCGAACTGTGAACAATAGAGGTAGCTTTTAAAACATAGGCACAGTCCTCTGTGAAGGTTGCTTGCACGCGTGATCTTCCCTGCGTTTTTGGTCCTGCGGTTGCTAAACTTCGTGCGTAGCGTGAGCTGCCATCCTTAGTTCAGTAGTCGTCTCAGCCGGAGGCTTCGCAGCCAAGCAGGCGGAGCAGCTGCAGGCGGAGAGGCCGCTGCCACGGAAACAGGAGGAGATGGTGGCGGGCCAGTAGGGCGTGAGCGGAGTAACGCGAAAGCACGCCAAGCAGCATGTCCAGCATGGCGTCTTCCTCGGCCTCCTCGGAATGGCAGTTCTTACAATGCTTTGGAGAGCGGACACCGGGCGAGGACATTCAGGAGGGTGGGTAAATGCTGCCTTAGCCAGCGCCCACGCCCTTTTAAGAGCTTTAGGAACCTCTCAAAGTATGAAGAATGCATGAGGGTCTTGCTCTTATGGCTTTTTTCTGCGCCCTGACCTCTTTCCTCAGCCGACATCATCTCAGCCGTCGAGTTCGACTACGATGGCCTGCACCTTGCCACGGGAGACCGAGGTGGCAGGGTTGTGCTTTTCGAAAGGGTCAACCCGCATGTGGTGGGTCGGCCTGTGGGTTGGGCGCTGGGCGCCGCACATGTGCCAACATCCTCCTTCACATATGCAGAGGACGGTGGGCATGGACGCTCGGGCACCTCCACCCTTGCCGCGTGGGGCATCGTTTGAGTACCGTTACATGACGGAGTTCCAGTCGCACGAGCCTGAGTTCGACTACCTGAAATCGCTGGAAATTGAGGAGAAAATCAACAAAGTTAGGTGGTGCCGCAGCTCTAACAACACCCGGATGCTGCTGTCTACCAACGACAAGACCGTGAAGCTATGGAAGGTGCGTTGGAGCAAGCAAAACGGACTTCCAGGGTTCCCTTCCACTCGCATTTGTTAATGCCTTCCCTTTTCACAGGTCTACGAGAAGAAGGTTTCCTGCCTGTCGAATTTTAACTTGGAGGGCAGGAACAATGCAACGGCTGGATCGCCTCGGCCAAACGCTCTCGCGAACAGCCCTGTGTCGCTGCGCTTATCTCAGCCACTTCGGCTGCCACGGGTGCGTGACTGAAGTTTATTCGACTGCCTGTGGTCGCCGGTGAATACTGAGCCTTACAATGTGCAGGTAACCAGCACGGAGGTCCTCTTAGCGGCTCGCTGCAAGCGGGTGTTCGCTAACGCGCACACATACCACATCAACTCGATCTCAGTGAACAGCGACCAGCAGACGTTCTTGTCAGCGGACGACTTGAGAATAAACCTTTGGAACCTTGAGATTACGGAGCAGAGCTTCAACATTGTGGACATTAAGCCGGCGAACATGGAGGACCTTACGGAGGTGCGGCATTGCTGGGCTGTTGCGACTATGGTTCGCTTTCTTACATGCTATTGCTATTCTCCAGGTGATCACGTCGGCGGAGTTCCACCCCCAGCACTGCAACGTATTTGCATATAGCAGCTCGAAGGGCTGCATTCGGTTGGCGGACATGCGCAATGCTGCGCTTTGCGACCGCCACACTAAAGCGTTCGAGGAGCAGGAGTCCCAGGTGGGCTAGAGCACCTCTTGTAATCCGGGGGCGTTACGTCAGGGTTGCTGACGGGTTACGGCTCCCGTGTACAGGCCAACAAGTCTTTCTTCTCGGAGATTATTGCAAGCATCTCGGACATCACGTTCAGCCGGGATGGGAGGTATATCCTCAGCAGGGACTACATGACGCTAAAGCTGTGGGACCTAGCGAAGGAGAACGCTCCCGTGGCCACGTACAACGTGCACGAGCACCTGCGCGCGCGGGTGAGCTGTCTCAGCGCATGTGCGCTCATGGAGGGCCCGCCGTACCTAGGGTATTGCCAACCTTAATTGCTATCAACAATTACCAACGTTGTACTCCCCGCAGTTGTGTGACCTGTACGAGAACGACTCCATTTTCGACAAGTTCGACTGCTGCATGAGTGGGCGCGGGGACGCGATTGCTACGGGCTCGTACAACAACCTCTTCCGCGTGTTTGGCGCCTGGAACGGCACGGACCTTACGCTGGAGGCATCGCGGGATCCCATGCGGAAGCGCCTCCAAGCGCCCGCTAAGGTACGCGGGATGATACGAGGTTTGAATAACTGGCTGTATGCTTGCCGCAGTCCTGTCAACATAGTCACATTGTTCGTTATTGAGGCCATTGTCTACCCTCTTAACGTTGCTCTACACTCGCGCTTTTGTCCTTGTCGCGGTGATGATGTGTGCCCCTGCCCTCACCTTCATATCCTCGTCAGACGAACCGCTTTGCCATCCGCAACAAGAACGGGCCAAGCAAGGGGGGCCGCGCTGCGGAGCAGTCTGAGTCGGGAACGGACTACGCCTCGAAGCTGCTGCATCTTGCATGGCACCCGGAGGCGAACGTTGTGGCCGCGGCGGCCTCGAACTCGCTCTACATGTACTGCGCTTAGTCCAGCATTGCGTGCTGGTGCGCCGTCACGGAACAATGCATGGTGCACCTTCGGAGCTGAGACTTCAATATGCGGGATGGCGGAGCTGCACAGGCCGTTGCGATGTCGCTGCGCTGACGCCCATATCGTTGCAACAGTAGCAGCGGGGCGTGAGGGGGAGGACGGTGCCAGCCCGTCGGTCCCCGGTGTACATACCTGGCGCATGCGTCGTTTACCACATGCGCATTGGGCTTTCACCGCACGCTGGCGCTAGACAGGAGGGGTATGGGTGCGCGTTTTGGCGGGCGTTTGCCGGCCTGTTGCCAGCGCATGCAAATGGGCATTCGTGCCCTTAGGATTACGTGTGCATGGTTAGGTTCACGTGTATGGGGCTTTTAGAGCGTGTAGCGCGCATGTCGGCTCGTCTTCGGCTTGGCGTCGCTGTTGGGCTTTTAGAGCGAGCGTGTGTTGTGGACTGTTATCCGGTTAGAACAGACGGGCTTCTGGTGTATCTTTGCAGCGTTGGCTTGTGTTCAGATTATTATGGTGGCGAAGCGCAGCGCTATGTGCATCTCTCGTGGATAGGCGTACATGAAAGTCGATAAAAACATCATGGGAAGTGCGGTGCTTGCGGCAAATCATATACCCACTCCTCGCGTGGCGGCAGCCCTGAAAAACAAGGACTGCCTGGTTTGCGTGCGACGGGGACTCGCATCACCTTTGGGCCATACAGCCCCAACTCTGATGAACACAAAACGGTATAGGGTTTCATTTGTAAGGTCACGGTCTGTTTATGCCTCCCAGGACGCTGCACCGGAGGTGGTGGGAGCATGCGTGCAAAGGGACACTAGTGCCATTGGTTCAGGACTAACTGTAAGTCTGTAACCCTTGCTTGGCATGTCCGTTGAAGCTGGAGCAATTGAGTGTTGCGTTACCCGGTGTTGAGATGATGACCGGTCAGTGGCCGCTCAGGGTTGCATGGATACGGTGGTGGTTAGGCTAATACGTCATAAGGGCCAACAACAGGCCATCTGGCAATTGTGCAAAGATCCCAACACTTTCCGACCAAGCAGCCCAAGTGTACGGGAGTAGGCTGCAGACCTGGCAATTTGTGCTACACACTTTCCGGGGCCTAGGCCCACGTCCCTTTGCTACACCCCGGGGCCCAGGCCTGCAAACCCACAGTCCAATGGCGAGTTGCGCTCACCTGCATACCTACCTGTACTGCAATCATTCAAACCCATGACGCCTATCGTACCTATCAGCAATCCTTCAGGCAAAAGCTTTATTTTGGCATGAAGATTGCCCTCAACCTTGGCAAACTGGCATCGCCGCAAGACAAAATGGCTGGTGAAGTTGAAGTTCGGGCTTTCGCCCTCATGATCACTGCGAGAGTCGCTTACGGTAAATTGAATTGCTTATGCATACCGTATATGATAACATGAAAGATAATTAGCAGCTCCGCTGCACACTGCAGTTGCCTACTTGATATGGCTATTTGCGCCCGAGCCTTTCCTCCACAGCTTGGGGATCACCTACTACCCCACAAAGTACGTGTTATCTTCATGTATAAGTTTGCTTCAGTTGCATGGCGCTCTTCTCCGCCACCGCCTGTACGGATCTAGCTCTAGCCAAACTCTGAGCGTTGGCACCCGCTGCCCTGGATCCCAATCGCATGCAGGTACTGGGCGCTTGCGGCCCCCGCCTGGCTGACATTGGCTGTCGTGTGGGGATTCTGGCTCTACGAAGGGTAGGTATATGCCAAAGCTGTCGTACGTTACCACATGCAGCCCCTGGCTGTTCAACTCCTTCCCCCTTCGCATTCCCGCATCGCCCCAGGCTAAACATGGCGACTGTGCCTCACCTGACTGACCGACGGCAGCTTGAAGGTGGGTTGCTAAGGGCCATCGCTAGGCATACCTGGAAGAAGTAACTATCCTCGTTAGAGCCATCTTTGGGCAAGCGGCATGCGGCCCACGCATGCTCCCACAACGTTGCGGGCCCTATCCGACGTGTCGTTACCGGTACTACTAACCAAGCAACCTCGTGACTACTACCGACACATCCTCAATACGTTTGTCCGCAGATTCCAAGAATAAGACACCGGAACAAGTCGGACTGCGGGGCTATGAACACCCCACCGTTCATTCAGTCCCACCCCTTTGCCACATTCCTCCTGATATTGTCAGCCGGGCTCTGTTTGCACACAGTAATGACGACGACTAGGACTGCGTCGACAATCCAACGCAGCCCAATAGCAAGCACGCCTGGTAAGCACATCACTTATACATGCAGCCACCTGCACAAGGGATACTGCCACACGCGCATACTCCACAAATCAATCCCGCAGTTCTAGCAAGCTGCGAACACATTAAGACTGCGCGCACGCTGCCATCCAGTCCCCATGTCACCTGGGCTACGTGCGGAGCGCAGCAAAACAACGCACCTATATGGCCTCATTCACAGCCGCAGACAAATGAACTTCTTCGCAAATGATCCGCACGTCTGTGCTTGCCATCACCCTGCCCCTAACACACACAGCACGGTACCCATTGACACGCCTTATTCCACTCGTGCCATGCCCGTGCACCCCGATTCAGTTCACGGCGTCAACGAACTCGCCCAAAGATGGCGGTCCTGATTGGTTTTACGTCTACCGATGTACCAAGATTGAGCATTCGAGCAACACACATCAAGCCCAATGCCAACTCCTAACGCGGCACGAGGTATGTCAACTGTAACCTAGGACACACCTAGATCACACAACACACGGGCGCAACAATGAATAAGACACATGCCAAGAAAGAGGAAAACCGAGGGATGTGCCGCGGCCCCGTTCTCACAAACTGGGCCTCCCTTAACCAGGAAAGACTCCCACAACAGCAAATTAACAACTCTTGCATAATCGGTACACATATGCAGCAACGCAATCCTACCTAACCACACGTGCATACACGCCTCGAGCCTTTGGCAAGCTCCCTCCAACACCACCACTACACTCGCTACTACTAACTCCCTCGCGGTCCGCGCTCAATGGCTCCTGGATGCGTGCCCAGGCGCGTCCCCACGGGCTGCTTGGAAACGGGGAACGTCATCCCGCCCCCATCAAACCGCAGCGCCGGCAACGCCTCTTCCAGTCGCCCGCCCCGACCAGGACTCAGCATCCCCGGCGGCGTCCCGGCCCTCGCGCTCATGCTCGCCCGCCGCATCTGCCCCAGCGGCGACATACCTACACCGCTCAAGCTGCTCTCCCGATGGCCTCCGTAGCCGCTACCAGAGGCACCACCGCCGCCACCACCACCACCACCGCCGTGCCCTAGTCCCGGTCCTGGTCCGGGTCCCAACCCTGCAACGCCCCCAGACATGGTGCGTGTCGGCGGGCCCGCGCCGGGGGGCAGGCGAATTGTGGACTGGTGCATGAAGCGCAGGTCCAGCAGCTGTGGCGTGTCGATGAGCTGCCGGTGTGAGGGCGAGTTGGAGAAGTGGCCGTACGCCCGGGAGTTGGCTACGGGCAGGGGCGGCGGAGACGCCCTGGAAGCGATTGGGATGGCTTTGGCTGCGAGGGAGTTGACCAACCGTCGCTCCTCCGGACCTAGGGCTTCCAAAAGGGCCTTACTCATCTCCGATTGGGCCGGCCGACGAATCGGCCGAGCGCTAGAGGAGCGCGGCCTCGCTTGCTGCACCCCGCCGTTGTTGGTACCCGTGCCGCTGCCATGCGCAGCAGTAGCGCCGGAGTACTCGCCGGCTGCCTTGGCTCGCTGGGACTCCACCTCCGCTGCCTTGGTGGCCTGCAGGGCCTCCAGATTGGCCTTATCCGAGATCTGTTGGATCTGCGCCTGGACCTCCTTATCGCCGTTGATGATGCCCTCCATCAGGCGCTTGCGGCGGTAGGCGGTGGCCATGAGCGCAAAGGGGACCTGCGGGAAGAAGGAGCGGAGGTGGCGGTGGTGGTGTAGGAGGGCTGTGTTGCGGGCAGGCGTTTAGTGGGTGCTGCGATGGGGAAAATTGCGTGATTGGCGTGATTGCTTTGGACCCACTTCGACATGGCATGTTGTTAGTCCTGGAGGGGTATGACCACTTCCGCAGCTGTGACACAATCGGGACAACTGACTATCGCCCAGCATAACCTTATTGGCCGAGCTCTGACCCTCGCTGCCCACGTGGCGTCACGGACATGCGTGCCTCGGACCCCCAGCCCAACCTCCCCGCACTCCCACCTGGCCCTCATTCTTCTCGCTGTCCTCCTCCTCCGCCAGCCGCTGCAACGTCACTGTCATAATCTCCAGGAATTCAGGGTACTCCACCTCCCCGCTGCCGTCGTGATCCACCTCCGCCAGCAGAGCCGCGAGCTCCGCGCGCTTCATGCGGATGCCTGCATCGTACAATGGGACGCACATTGGGGCGATGGGGCGTATGGGAGAGGGTATGGTTGTTTAGCAGAGTGCAAGGGAAGCGGGACGTTGACGGGAGTTGAAAAGAACATGCACGCAACCAGCCAGCTAGCAAGCAGCTAGCTGCTAACGGCAAAACAGGGGGTCCTTCCTAGATAGGGCGGTGAGACGTCAACCATGCGAGCGCCTTTAGTGCACCGTGGGGCGCTGCATGTGTGTCGGTTTCGTGCGGTTGCAAGGAAAAACTGTCATGCTGAGTGTCTGACAGCTAAAACCTATCTTCTGTGCCATGTACCTCAGTCTGGCTAGACCTTGTTATACATCGTTAACCCGCCTTCAACTAACCTAAAAGTCTGAAGGCAGCTCCGAGTTCCTCGGCATCGATGGCGCCAGAGCCATCCTGAAAAGTAAGACAATACCACCAGGTATTGGGTAAAAGCAAGGAGCAAAATGCAACAAGTTCCATTGGTTAGGACCAAACCCAGATCATTTGCCAACTCTAATCAGTTGCTGGCGTTAGGGAGTGTAAGAAACATGCTTTGAAGCTCCGCCTCGGTTCTGCTTGACATACACTTGCCTGATCCATGAGCTCGAAGCATTCCTTCAATTGCTCCTTTTGGTCATCCGTAAGCTTCGGCTTGACGCCCTGGTGAAGGTCCCAAGCGTCGCGTCAGCCAGCCTGTCCGCGGCCCAGCTAGTTTTCGCCCAACCCAATACTTGCCTTGCCATGCTTCTTAAGCCAAAATGACGTGGAAGTATACAAATCGGCGTTGACCTGGGCGACATCCTTCTTCGCTGTGGACGACTCCGCCGCAGGTCCAGCGAGACCGGTTGTAACCGGCGAGGCCATTCCAGCTATGGAAAGGCTTATGCTACATCATGTTGTCAGCGCGGAAGCCTACACAGCTAGCCAATGCCCAGTTGGTTTTATACGAGAGCAAAGCGTATATCTCGTGTATGTTTCTTAATTGTATCGGTTAATACCCCAATGTCTCGATTTGCGTAGTGGAGTGGCGTTGGCATCTATATCGGTAGGATGAATCCTGTCTGCGGCCGTGCACGACGATTATCGCCCATCTTCTGCCGACACTTACAACCCTGTAATGAAAGCACCAATGTATACTTAAATGTTATTATAGGTGGTCTTTTGCAGCGTCACCCAACTGACACTCCTTCTGCACCAGCTGCTTGCAAAGGATTACCATCAGCTCTTACAGTGTTAAATCTTTTGATAGGTAATACGGTATAGCTGATCGGCAGCACTTCTTCGAATGCAGTCGTGTTGTGGCTTTCATGCTAGTTGACCAGCGACCACAAGACACGGCCCGAAAAGCCTAGCCATCTAGCGTCTCCAAATATGAAGCCTGCTGCTGTCCTAAACGACCTCTCTTGCAGCTCAAGGCGTGCAGCATGCCTCCTCCGAACGCAGCAATGTCATCCCGGTCGCCCTGGGCGCCTAGTCCGCGTTGGTCCAGCGCTCGGTAGCTCCAACCCTGCTGTGCAAAACTTAGCTTCAGCGGACGGCGTGCCATCCACGCGACACGCGGACAATGGCCAGCAGCAGCAATCTACGCCTCAGAAGCTGCCCGCAGCTGCTGCTGCGTCCGGCGCTACTCCGGCCGCTCAGTCCGCAACGCCCGCAGCTTCCGCCGGATCCTCGCCCGCCCCACCGTTGTCCGGCGCGTCCGCAGCACCTGTCTCCACAGGAGCGGCACCCTCACCACCAGCAGCAGCACCACCGCAACCCGCAGCCCCGCTCCCCTCTGCCGCCCCTCCAGGAAGCCCCTCCGCAAGGGCTGCTGAGTCAACCACAACCGCCCCCCCCACCCCGCCTGACCGCCGCAACCCTAGCCCTGGTCCCAGTCCCAGCCATGCGCCCCCTAGCAGTAGCCCCATACCTCCTGCTAACAGCAGCAGCAGTAACAGCGCCACCGCTCGAGAAGGCAGGGAGGCTGCCGGGCAGCAGCCGGCGACCTCCCTTTCTGCTGCCGCTCCTGCCTCAGGTCCTGTAAGCCCCGGTTCCACCAGAGGCAGCAGCAGTAGCACTAGCAGCACCGCTGCCGGTCCCTCCGCCACCCCTCCCGGGCCCAGTACAACAGCCTCTGCACCCGTTCCACGTGAGCCCCCTTCCACCTCCCATGCTGCCGCCGCAAGCCCGGGTGCTAGTGCCAGCTCCCCCCCAGGAAGCCCCTCGCCGCCGCCTCCCTCTCCCCCACCTTTCGCCTCTGCCCCCCAGCCGCAAGCCCCCGCAGCCCCAGCACCCGTACCTGCCGCAGCACCGCATCCCTCCTCCCCTGCCGCCGCTAGCCCAACCGGGTCAGGGAGCCAGGGACCAGGCCCGGTGCCGCCACACCAAGCGGGCCCGGCAACCACCTCCACTAGCTCCCCCGCATCCTCCCCCGCCGCCTCCGCCTCCGCTGCGGCTGCTGCTCCCCGTGCGGCACCACCCCCCGCCGGCTCCCCTCCTGCGTCCCCTCCTGCCGTACACCACTCGCAGCCGCACCCAGCGGCAGCAGCAGGGACTACTCCTTCTTCGCCGTCACCGCCGCCCTCACCCTCCCAGAGCGGCGTAACGCCAGCTGCCGTACACAGCAGCGGTACCAGTAGCAGCGGCAGCAGCGGCAGTGGTAGTGGTGTGCCCTCCTCCTCCTCCGCCTCCTCGGGCCCACCGGGAGGGGCCCCTGCGGCGGCAGCCCCTGCAAGCGCTGCCGCTCCCCCTCCTCCTCCACACGCCTCCTCTCCCAACCCCGCCGCTGCTGCCGGCGCTGCTGCTCCCCCCTCATCATCAGCATCACATCCCCCTCCATCCGCAGCCACCACTCCCCCACCACCCTCATCCCCAACATCATCCCCACCACCATCCTCAACCCCCTCCCCGGCCGCCATCAACGCCTCCAGCTCCGGGTTCCAACTGCGCCCCATGCACCTGGTCGTCTTCGCCGCCATCTTCCTGGGCGGCGCGCTCTTCGCCGCCCTCACCCTTCAGTTCACCGCCGACCTGGATTTCCCGGTGGCAGCCTCCACAGTGGCGAGGCGTGTGGCGCGGTCGGTGGCCTTCCGGCAGCTGTGTGTGATTGCGGGGGCGATCTGCCTGGTGCGGTTCGGGCTGAACAACGTGCTGAAGGCGCTTGCGAAGTTCTCGGCGAGTCCGGTGCAGTGGGATAAGTCCAAGGTGTACTACATTTTGAAGGAGGTACGACAACATGACTGGGGCGGTTGTGGTGGTGGTGGTGGTGGTGGTGAATGGCAATGGAGTGATGGTGGACCGGGGTTGCTGCTGTCGACGCACTCCCTTCCACTGCTCACCACAGCACCTTTGTTGCCCCGTCAATTCCTTACTCATCCCCCCCCGTTCCCGCTCCCTTCCCCCTCCCTCCCCCAGGTGTACCAGCCGCTGGAGCTGCTGCTCTTCATCGCCGCCATCTGCACCATCGCGGATGCATTCGTGCCGCAGCTCATAGCGGTGCCCAGGGTGAGGGAGGGCGGGGACTGGAGGGGGGGAGGGGGGGTCGAGGGGGGGGGGGGGACTGGAGGGGGGGAGGGGGGGTCGAGGGGGGGTAGAATAAACCAAACCACAATGTTAGGGCAAAAGCAATGGGTATTGTTGGGGGGGGGGACTGGAGGGGGGGAGGGGGGGTCGAGGGGGGGGTAACAAGGATACCCAATGTGTGTCGGGGGAGGGGGCTGTGTGGGGCTGGGAAGGCCTGGGTCTGGTGGTGAGGGTCTCTGCTGGGTACGGGTGAGCAGTAAGATTGGCGGGAGGTGAGGTGCCGGTGGAGGTGCGTGGGGGCTACGGGGCCCCGGGCGCCTTCCCCTGGCTTTCCTACTTTTACGCGCTGACGTTGTCTCTTAACCACCCTCACCTACCCTCCGCCCCTGCCCCCTCCGCCCCCCTGCCCCCTTCCCTGCCCCCCCCCCTGCGCCCCTCCGCCCCTGCCCCCCCGCCCCCCCTCCGCCCCTGCCCCCCTGCCCCCCCTCCTGCCTCCCTCCCCCCCCCCCCAGTCCACTGTGTCCACGGTGGTTCGCTCCACGCTGTCCGTCAGCTTCATCATCGGGGCAGCCACCGTGGTGTTCAACCTCAAGTCGCGGTTCTGCAAGGAAAACGCATGGCAGGTGGGTAGCGGGGCGGGGGGGTGGGGGGCTGGTGCCGGGCGGGTGAGTGGCTGGGCGGGGAGGTGGGCGATTGGAGCATGCAGGTGGTGCACCTGGCTAGTTTCCTTTACCAGAAGTAGAGTGTTGTAATCCCTTCCTAACCTCTTCTCGTCTCTGCCTCCCTCCCTCCCTCCCCCACCGCCCAGAGCGAGATGAATGGCGACGTGACGGCTCAGCGGCGGTGGGAGGCGTACGACAAGCTGGGCACCTTTGTCATCTACACCATAACCTTCGTGCTGGGCATCCAGGCACTGGGGCTGGAGGGTGAGGGGGTGCGGGAGGGAGCGGGAGGGAGGTGCGGTCCTGTCCTGGCATGTTCAACCATACCTTGCTGTAGACATGAAGAGGGGACGGGGCCTGGAAGGGAGGGAGTTGCAGGGGGGCTGCATGTTAGCACACACAGCGGAACGCGCACGTCGCCTTATCTTCACATGCAAAGCATTCGCCTTCCCCGCTTCCTTCCCTTCTCCACTGCCGCCGCCGTCCTGCCTGCCTGCCGCCCTCCCTCCCTCCCGCAGTCACCTCCGTGCTAGCCATCGGAGGTATCGGAGGTCTTGCCATCGGTCTGGCGGGCCGGGAGATCTGCGAGAACATCCTCAACGGCTTCCTCATCATGTCCACGGTAGGGGGTGGGGGGAAGCGGGGCGGGGTGGGGGGCGGCGTGGGGCGGCCTGGCTGGTCCTTGGGGGGTAAGGAGCGCGGAGGAGGGGAGGGGCAGGAAGAGGAGGGGGGGAGGAGCAGGAAGAGGAGGGGGGGAGGAGCAGAAGGAGGGGAGGAGCAGGGAAAGGAGGGTTGCGCATCGAGCTGGGGTGCTGGGTGCAAACCTGGGTGTGCGCGGCCCGTTCGTAGAGCACTTCGTAGAGCACTTTGCAAAGCAAATCGATAATGCCCACTTCCTTGTTCCTCTCCCGCCGCTTTCCCAACCCCCAACCCCACCCCAGAGTCCCTTCGAGGTGGGTGACGAGGTGCACTTCTTCCACTCCAGCAAGGTGGTGGAGGGCATTGTGCTGGACATCGGGTGGTACCGTACGACAATCCGGTCGTACGAGCGCGAGGTGTACGTCATACCCAACGCCGTGTTCTCCAAGAACATCGTGCTCAACATCACACGCAAGCACCGCGAGTGGCGCTTCTTCGAGATGATCTGCGTGCGGGTGCAGGACGTACACAAGGTGGGGGGGAGGTGGGGTTGTAAGTTTGACACTATGTAAAAGTGAAGATAGATTACTGCATAGGTGGGTGCGTGGGTGGATGGTGTGGAACGGTGCACGCTTGCGCGGATGTAAATCCCCATGAACGTTACCCGCTTCTTTTTCTTTCTGCTCACCTATCCTCTCTACCTGTCTCCCTGTCTGTTGTTCTTCTTCTTCACCCCTCGCTCCCTGCCTTCCCCTTCTCCTGCACCCCCCCTCCCCCCCCCCCCCCAGGTGAACGCCATCATCCAGGACATCCGCCGCATCGTGCGCAACGACTCGCGCATCATCACCAAGCTGCACCGCCGCATCTTCCTGGACAAACTCACACTGGACGACTGCCGCATATACGTCTCCTTCTACGTCGGTGAGCTGCGCTGCGGTGCTTTGCGGTGCTGCATGGCTGCGCTGTGTTGCGTTGCGCTGTGGTGCTGTGTCTCAGTGCTACGTTGCAGTGCTGGGCTCCGTTGAATGTTTGGTGGCTGCTTGAATGCGTTGCTGAGTGGCTGCTTCCTGTTTCCATTGCTTTGCCGTTTGCCCTAACCTGTGGTTTCCTACTGTTTGCTCCAAACATCTTTGCCCTCCCCCCCTCCTCCTCCCCTCCTCCCAACCCCCCAGAGGCCGCCAACCGCGAGTCCTTCATGTCCGCCAAGCAGGACCTGCTGCTGGCGTTCGTGGACTGCGTGGAGCGCAACGGGGCCAAGCTGGCGGTGCCCAGGAGCACGGTGGGGGGGGAGGGAAGGGGGAGAGGAAAAACTAAATGTCAAGTGCAGCAACGAATCCCAATCCCATATCGTGACTCATGCAGTGCGCATGGGGGAGAGTGAAGGGGGGGTACTCGTTTGCTCGCTGAAGCCTACATGATCTTACGGCTTCTTGCTCCTTGCAAAGCAACCTCACAGCTTGTCGAAATTTCTACCGAGGCTCCCAATTTGAACGCGCTACCCCCCCCCTGCCCCCAACACATTGGGTATCCTTCACCCCCTCCCCCCCCCCGCAGGTTTCCCTGGACCAGGACACCGTGGAGGCCCTCTCCCCGCTGCTGGGTGCCGCAGTGGCCATGGCAGCGGCCAAGGTATCCATGGACGTGCAGCAAGCAGCCGGCAGCGCGGCGGCGGCAGCGGCGGCGGCGTCGCGAGCGCTGACGGACGGTCGTACGATCACGGCGGAGGTGACGACGGTTCCCACGTCGTCGTCGCCGCTGGGAAGTACGGCGGCGGCGGCGGGCGGTACGACAGCCACGTCGGCGAGGGCCGTTGGCGGCAGCGGCGGCGGCGGTGGAGGAAGTACGGCAGGTGGGAAGAGCGGCGGCGGCGGAGGAGGAGGAGGGGCAGTGGATGGCAACGGCGGCGGGACGGCAGGAGGCAGTGGCGGAGCAGCGACGGCGGGCGGCAATGGAGCGGCGGGTGCAGGGAACCAAGGGTCTTCTACTAAAGGTGTGGATTCGATTGAAGTGAAACATATTAAAACCCTGCGCGTAGTTACTTGTATTCATACGGAATTGTTTACTTTGTTGCTTACCTGCTGCCAATGTCACTGCGGCAATGCTTGTTGCGCGCCATGCCATGTGCAGGTGAGGAGGTGGCTGCGGCTGCGAGTCAGTCCGGCGTCGTTGGCAGTGGGGTCAGTGGCGCAGGTGGTAGTGGTGGTGCCGGTGCTGTTGGTACGGCAGCTGCGGTTGGTACGACAACAACAGCAACGGCCTCTCCAACTGCCAGCGGCTCCTCTCCCACCAGCGTTGTCGTACCCTTGGTGGATACCTCTGATGCGGCATCCGGGGCCGTTACCAGTGCCACTGTGGTAACCCGGTACAGCAATCCCCAGAAACGGCCGCCACAGCAGCAGCAGCAGCAGGCGTCGCAGTCGCCGCCGTCACCCGCCGCCGCCGAGGCTGCCGCCGTTACAGCCGTACGACGAAATAGCGTAACCGCTGCCAATTTCGCTAGCAGTTTAGACGTCGATATCGGCAGTGGCAGCGATGATGACGAGGATGAGGATGTTTTGGTTGTCATTGCCAGCTTTGACGACTTGGATCCTCCGTCGCCATCTGGGTCTGGACCCATGGGTCGCTCGTCGCGTTCGGCGTCGGCGGCGAGTGGTGGCGGCAGAGGCGGCGGGTCGGCTGCGGCGAGCATGCAGTGACGGGCGACTGGCGGAGAGGCACGGTGGGCGATCGGCTGCGGAGTTTGGACCTCCGCTGCCGTCTGATCCTGCCGCCATGACGCCTGCCCTTACCTAATGACGCCACATGCTACTATACTCTTACAGCGAACCGTGTTCGTTGTCTTCGTTGTCGGCTGCGCCCATTTCCTGGCCATGTCCGATTGACAAGCATTAAGGACAAGCGTCTTTAGGGATTTGATTCCGCAGATGTATACCTAACCATCTCTTCTTCCCCGCTGCTTTTCCCTACACCAATACTGCTGCAGAAAATGGCCTTACGTGGGTGTTGTCGCGGCTCGCTCACATGCTGTTTGAGGTGTGAGGTGTGAGGGCGGCTACGGAGCATCTGTACGGCACTGCTTGGGCTGCTACGTGGCCAACGGTCAACGGGCTTCTTCACGAGTCAAGGCCTCGTACCTCTTCGGGCATGGGGATGCATGCTCATTTCCTGCGTGTGTCAGCAAACCGCGCGATCCCTTCTTAACGGTAGTAATTCTTTGCAACAAACACTGTGTTTATAGCAAATGCTCGGAAAGGGGGCTCAGAATTAAGCGGCCAAAGGCGTGGGTTAAGGGGAATAGCAATAGCGTCTGTGGTTATTACGCTTTAACGGTCGCAGATGTGCAGGGTAATGTAGCACGGAGGAACGAGGCCGGCTGTTGGACCCATGGGTCGATTCGCAGCATGTGGTTGCGTCTAACCCAAAGAATACCGACGTAAGAATAAAACAAATGGAGCATTCATGTGTGATACTGAGAGCTAGGGTCATGGGTCGAGGCTGCGGGCCTGATGCCCAAAGTAACCAGTAGAGGAAACCCCGCATACCTGCATTTGAGGGTATCCATCATGCTGCTCACGGTCTCACTGAGCACGAGTGCAGCAAAGGGAGCCGAGGGTCGCTCGCAATCGGGGAGCAGAACAGTTGGCCCGCGGGGAACTGCCAGGCTGTGAGCTGACTAGGGCTTGGGCCGGAGAAGAGGCTTGGCGGGCCAACCGCGGGGCCGGTATGCATGGTGCGTGAGGGGAAGTGGCAATGATATGGGCAACGGAGCAGCTAAGGGGTAATTGGGCAGCATTTATGTAGAAGGGGAAGGGGTATGTTCGTATTTATAGGGACAAGCTACCACTTGTAGAGGACATTGATAGCAGTCGGCGTGTTACCGTCGTGTCCCCATCTGGGCTGTGGCGGACTTTCTGAATGTGCAGGCGAGATGGGGTCCTGTGGGTTGTGGATATTTGTGGGACCGACCCACGGTTCCCGAGGGCATGTGGGTCCGGGCCGTTGTCAGCCGGTCATCAGGGAGTTGGGTGTAGAAACATGGCAGCTACTTAATACGCATGAGGTATGAGGTGCGCGGACAGTTATGCAGCGCCTAGGATGGTAAGGCGGTGCGGTTGGAGGTCTCTTGCGGAGTTAATCCTTGTCGGCGTTACTGTTTTCCATGTAGCCTTGTGTGCAGCTGTTTCGCGTGATGCTGTGGGTAACTTAACAAGCATGTTTTGACGGAGCAGTGCATGCAGCTGGAGTCTTTTATGATTGGGGCCGATTTTGTCTCTAGACGCTGTGGCTTGCATAGGTCCTTGAGTGCGGACGTCCTGTAGTGCTAGTGCTGCAGGGGGTGTCCTTAAGAGTTAGATGTGCTAGGAGCGGTCGAGTCGTCTGCATGCCTTACTTGAAAGGTAATGGACATCTGTCCTGAACTGTCCCGGCGACAACCGTCTGTGGTGTGTCATGGCATCTAATGCTATTGAGGAGAGGAACATGTCGGCGGCATTGTACGGCATGCTGGATTCATCGTTCGTGGCAATAGCCTGCTAGATGCAGGTACCGTATTCGTTGTTGACTACAAATGTACCGCGGGACATCTGATAGCTGGATGTAAACGATAAAAAAGACGTACAGTCAAGTTTTGCCGTACTTACACGGGGCAGGTGCATAATGTATTTAATGTTACATAGCCATGCAGTTATATTATACGTCAGCGCCTTCGAGGCAATACGCATGGCATACAACATATACAGGTACACCGCCCCTAAAGGCGATTTGGGTCCGCCTCTTCGCAGCGGCCGCCGCTCAACTGAAGTAGCAAAACGACGACCTCCTTGCCTCCATAACAACGTTCCTCCCTGCGAGTATCAACAACTTTTACGGCGTTCACCTGAGACTTTATTCACAACAACGACCCCACGCCATGCTCGAATTGTGACCATGTAAACGGAAAGAAAAACGGCGGCCGCATAGCTCCAAAGTGCATGCAGGCTCGCAATGCTTCTACTACTATTGCAAAACCAACCGAAAGAGGCCCCAGAGCGCAGCTACCAACCCACGCCTCTTACCCCTTTGGACCACCGGTAAGAGCCTCGTGTCACCTTTCACCAAGAAAAACATCCTACAGACACCCAACAACCGCATCTCTTACATGCCTTGTTGTTGTCGTTGCAACATGCTGCCCCTGTCCCATCCCAAGATCCCATGCTGTAAGTCCGTATGTACATGTTACCAGCACCCTCCTAGGAACCAGCACCACCGTACGCCAGCAGCGCAGAGAAGCTCCTGTGGCTCCTGTTGCTGTACACCGCACTGCCCGGGGTGCGGCTGCCTGGCTGCCCCTGCCCGGGCTGCGGGGTGCGAGTGCATGGGAAGGGGCTGCGCGCGGGGCCGCCCATGCCTAGGGCGTCCAGCTGCCCCCAGCGACCCGTGGTTCCGCCAATGGGCAGCGACAGGCCTCCGTTGGGTGTGGGTGCGCCGCCGCCGCCCATGGAGGTTCTTCCTCGGTTGCCGCCTCCTCGGGCGCAGGCGGTCTGTACGGCGGGATGGGGCAGGGAGAACATGAGCGCATACCGGTAGGGAACCTGACGAGACGATTACAAGGAGGCATCACATACGCTGTAGTGTATTAAGTGGACCAACAAGCGTTCATGTACAGTGCATGTTGGCCCCATCTCAGCACCTCCAAAGCCCGAAACCCATATACCTGGTCTTCTAGGCAGCTCAAGCAGAAAACTCGGTCCTCTCGCTCCTCGTAATCGAGCACCGAGCAGAGGGAGCAGAAGACGTCTAAGCAGCCGCAGCATTGCCGTAAGCAGCAGCTGTCGGCGGACACGGGAAGCACGGTGCCGCAGTGCGTGCAGGGAGCCGAGGCACCCGTCGCTTGCGCCGCCAGTTGTTGTGGGTTGGTTGGAAGGGCAGTTGAGGGGTCGGCTCCGTTGGCGGCCGCCGCGTCCGCGGCTGCGGCTGTTCATGTGGGTCGGGGGTATAAGCGGGGTATGTGAAGGGAAGAAAGGAGAGAAGAATGGAGGAGAGTCCAAGGGACTGTGCTAGTGTTGAAAGCAGCCCTTAAGCAGCGTGCGGGAAGGGAGAAGCAATGGTCGCAGTCGTGAAGATGCATCGAACGTCAAGCCCAGGCAACGAATGTGCCCTACGCCGTCCTAATCCTTGTTACCCTATGACGACCGGCACAGTAAGATCACGCTAGCGTGGCGTTATAGCGTCGATTGGCGTACCTGCTAGCTGGCTGTTCTGTTGTATGAGCTGCTGTTGTTGGGCTTGCTGGGCCGGTTGCATGTTACGTGCCCTCGCAGCGGCCATCAGCACTTGGATTGCGTCAACTGCGGGAGGAAACAGGCATGGCGCAGAATTGGTGTTGGAAAGCAAGCTACTAGCTATACCTTTACGGAGTAGGCCAGCCTCGTCCTTAGAGGTAAAGATGTCATATTGGTTCGGTTGAAGCGCCCTACCTCTTCTGACTTCGACGCGAGCTTTCCGCAAGTTACTTTGTGAGGGCGTGTAGCCCTCCCGCTCGGAAGCTCCACGCTTTGACATTGTTCGGAACCCCGATGTAATTATCTAATTCAAGGTTGCCCGCGATAATTCGTCGCCTGTGAACAGCTACTCCTTGAATGAGACGAGCAATTGACAAGGTCGACAGCAGACAAAGTGTTCAGAGCTCTACTTTATGTCGCTGAATCAAGTCGGGCTTAATGGAAAATGGTTTGGGGGTGAACGTTCCAAAGAGCACTAACGCGTCACAAAACGAAAATTGTGCTATTACAGCGCAGGCCACGAATAAAAATAAGTATCACAACGGATGAACTATCCCCGTGAAGCAATAACTCCGTCAAGTGCATTCACAAAGTGGCTTTCCCGCGCTGCTGTACAGCCCGGTACGGTAAATCAATCGAGGCTTAGCAGGATAAGGGAAGAGAGGACACCAGCTTTCATGGACCATTAAGCCGACTCAACCTAGACACAGAGCGCGAGTTTAGTCTTGGTTCGGCTAAACGAACGCTGCCGACGCGTCGGCCGACTGTTGCAATGTCGCGGGTCCGCCACAAAGAGCACGTTCCGCCAAAGATGTAACCAGCACCTGCTACAAAAATGTTGCAATTCACTCCTTATAAGCCAGGGTATTGCAATCTACACCTGTACCATGCTGTCCCGACAGCGAACGGGTGCCTGCCGGCCACGCCTTCGCCGACCTGAGAGTTTGACCACCGCTACAAGGTTTTTGGAGGTAAGGAATACACCTGGAGGTCAAGCAGGAATGTCGGGGAGCTCAGTCACAAAAACGTTCCATCCCTTACTCTTACCGTATCCAAGCTGCCCCTATCCATACATGCAGTTCGGCTACCACGCTCAGTCGCGCACACACCTCGATACAACTGGTCTTAATGATGACGTGGAACGGCTTTGCACCTTGGTGCGAGGTCCAATATGTTGCGTTGCAATATAGCCAACATGCACCTACAGCTGGTCCAAGGCGCACGAGCACGGAATCAGGTGAAGCCATGGGAGACAGCGACCTTGTCATGCCCTATTAGTGGCTTGGTGGCTTTCCAGTTGCTTCCACATGTCGGCAGGGCGCAACATCGTGCTGTGGACGGCCTTACCAGCACGTGCTGTTGCGGCTTGTTCGGCTAGGGGTGCCGTTATGATGGTCGCATCCATGATTGCCGTCAGGCCAGCAGCAGGGCATGACAGCGTGCACCATACTCCACCCCTATAGTCGAATCTGGGAAGAGCCTGATCTGGGTCAGGATCTCTGACGCTATCCAGGGCGGACGGGGAAAACCTGAACCCGATCCTTTTCTTTGCGATGCCTTGTTACGGTATCACGTGTGCTGTTGCGGAGGAGACCCGCCCGAGATGAGCCAGTCACGCGCTGCATCATGACACGGTCAGTCATGCTGCTCATGCAAGATGTATACCGGTATGGCTTCCGGTGTGCCCTGTGAGTTACGTAGCATCCAAGAAACCATTATTGCATGATGACTTTCATGATGATGGCGGCGCACGACTGTCACCTACCTTCGAGGCAACACCTGCATACCACCACCTGGCGGGTGGATGTCCGGAGTGGACGAGAGGGAGTTTGGGTGCAACACCCATTTGCCCATTGCTGACCCACATGGGGTTTGCTTGGGGTTGAATCCTCGGCGTGCCAGACAAAAGGTCGGGATTGGGCACCAATCTTTGGGTGTGCAACCTCATTTACAACTTCAGCGATGGTGCATGTTCACCGCCGCCAGTAAGCAAGGCATCCGTACATCCGTCAGCAGCTCAGGGGCCCTATGCCGCAGCACCACAGCGACCGCGCACAAGCCCGTACACAGCCATGGAAGCTCCAGCCGTTGCAACTGCTGCAGACCCGGTCATGCTGCTGTCTCTACTGCCTTCCACATCCTTGTTGGTTCTTATCTTCTCCGTCCGCTGCTGCCCAATTCCCCCTGCACCGTTCGTGGACTCCTCCACCCTCATTACAACAGCCCCATTGCACGCGACCACTTCGAGTAACATCTTACCGGTATTACAGCACGAGCTCCGCATCTTACCCTCCTTGCCACCCATCATACGCAATCCTTGCCGTCTTCCCACAGCTCCCATCATCCCTCTGTATCCTACAACTGTAAAGCCCGCACCCCCCTTGCATTACATAACCCACACCATACCTTCCCGCAGCTTCCTTCCATCCCCCCCTTCCCCCTTTCCGCGGCTCAGTTTATCTAATCCCCCTTCAGCCCCCCCCCTCTCCTCCTCCTCCTCCTCCTCCTCAGATCACGCGGCCCATGCTCATCTTCTCCAGGAAGTCGCTGTTCACGCCCGAGTCGCGCGCCATGGCCACGCGGCCCGTACGAGCAATCTCCATGATGCCGTACGGCTCCAGCAGGTCCGTGAAGGCCTTCATCTTGTCCTCCTTGCCCAGCATCTCGATGGTGACGGACTGCGCGGAGACGTCCACGATGGAGCCGCGGAAGATGGTGGCCAGGTCGCGCAGCTCGCCGCGCTGGGAGGCGGAGCAGCGGACCTGCAGGGGCGGGAAAGGGGAGGAGAGGGGCGATTAAAGGGAAGCTTAAGAAAAGGGAGTAAGGGAAGGCGAAGAGTGGGGAGCTTAAGTGTAGGGGAAAGAAGAACTTCCGTGGTGAAGGCGGGATCAAATAAGTTAAGCTCGCGAGTCTACCGTATACAGTCTTAACGCGTCGCAGCATGGCCGACCCAGATCAACACACATCGACCCAGATCGCACAGAAGCTCTTGTCACTCCCGCTCACCTTGACCATCATGAGCTCACGGTTGACGAAGGGCACGTCGGTTAGGTCGGTGATGGTTTGTACGAAGACCAGCTTAGACAGCTGCTTCAGCAGCGGCGAGATGCCGGAGGTGCCGTCGGGGGCCTTGGCGCCGCCGGGGACCACCATCACGATGCGCGACATGCCCTCGCGCTCCGAGGGGCCCACCACCAGGCTCTGCACGTTGTAGCCGCGGCGGGCGAACACCATGGTGACCTGAGGGTGGGGGGAAGAAGAATCCCAAGGTGTTTAATGATGCTAGGGGGGGATTCGGCGTGTACGGTAGACGTGTGGGGAGGGAGGAGGGAGCGTGTGAAGGAGGTGAGGAAGAGAGGGGGGGTTACAGAATTGGGCAGGAAGGCGCGAAAGAGAGTGCGCAGGAGGGGATCTGGGCGCGCAAGACAGAGGCGTGAACCTCACCTGGTTGAGCACTCCGGGCACGTCCTGCACCTCGATGTTGAGGGTGTAGGGCTTGAAGTCGGGCGACACCTGCCCCTGGGCGTAGGTGGGCTCCAGCACGTTGTCCACGTCCCACACGCCTGCGGGCCGGACACAGGGCGCCCGGGGCAGGTGGGGGCACCGTGGGGGGGGGGACATGTGTTTTTCATGCGTGCCGTGGTACCGGTCCTGACGTGGCCGGGGTCTCTGTTGCATGCTTGCCGAGGTGTGGTGGTTGGAGAGGTGTTTGGGCACCGGACACTGAGACGGAGGGTAAGGGCGGTTGGGATAGGCGCATGCGGCTGCTGTCATCCCCTCATATGCAGCATCCTCAAACTCAACCTCACCCCCAACCCCGGGGCCTTCCCCTCCCCGTCCCGCCACAACACACACAACACCCTCCGCCCACACACACAACATCCCCCACCACCACCCACCCGGTGCGTCCTCATCCACCATGTACACGTCAGCGGTGCGCTCGCCGGTGGGTGCGGGGGCGCTGCAGGGGGGGGAGAGGAGCGGGGAGGGGGGGTAAGTGCACGGGTAAACAAGGTGGGGAGCGGGTGCGACCTTAGGTCTTGTCGACAGAAGTAACCGCAACGCCCCTCGTAGCTGTTAGCCGCCGCAGGCCTGTTGATGCGCCCGCGGTATGTTACATGTATACAGGTATGCAGCCTGAGGACTGCTTTTGCTTGCTGGGGCTTATGTGCACGACACCCAGCTGGTGAAGGGCTTTGCCACTGCACAGGGCTGTACGACTGGTAGTGCTGCTGCTGCAGATACCGGGCGGCACCGCACCGCTCCTGCTCTTGCTGCTGCTGCTGCTCCTGCTGCTGTCCGGTGCTGCTTCCACCGCAACCCGGGGCGGGCCATGCGACCAGTGTCAGCTGGAGCGCACCAAGGACCGCTGACTGCCGGCTGCCCCCGCTACACCCTCCTACCCGCCACAATGCCCCTTTCCACAGCCCGTCGCGCCATCAGCCACTTCACACTCCCAGCTTGCCGTACCCAATACCGGCACCGTCTGTACACCCTCCTTCCCCACCCATTTCACCACCGACCCCCTCCACTCCCCCTCCCTCCACATGCCCACCGCCCCTTCTCCTCCCCCGCCCCTTTCTGCTACTCCTATCCCCATTGTCTGGTTGCCCCAACCCGTGCTTGCCTATGTTCCCGGCTATGCTCTTGGACCCCCCTCCCCCCCTCTCACCGCGCCCCGCTGGCAGCCCCTCCCGCGCCGCTGCCCAGCGGCTCCTCCGGCATGCTGGCGGTGCGCTCCAGCAGCGCCTCCCCGCGGCGCAGGCAGATGCGGCCAGTGCGCGCCATCTCCACCACCCCGAACTTGGCCATAACCTTGAGCATGGCGGTCAGCTGGGGGGGCAGAGGAGGACAGGGGGGAAATAAATGATACGTGCAGCAACGGAGCCTCAAACCGAGGCAGGGCAGGGGGTTAATATGGAAACAGAATCCGCATTAGGCTGAATAGTTGGGTTAGCATATATTACATATTAGGGCAGGGGAGGGGGGAAGGGGACGGGTGTGGTAGGGTCTGCATGTGGAAGGGTCCAGGCGGTACTGCGTCAGCGTGTCAGGCTGAGGCAGAGCGGCATGCAGCATGCTCCGGATACCAGGCGGCGGAGGGTACAGGGGAACGGGGGAATGTGCCACCCAAGGGCCCCCCCCTCCCCCACCACGCAATTGCTACCCTTCCCACCTTGCCCGGGTCTCCGGTGACCGACAGCGACAGCGTGTTGTCGCCCACATCAACGATGCGCGCGCGGAAGATCTGCGCCAGCTGCAGCACCTCAGCACGAGCGGGGCCGGGGGCCACACGCAGCTTCAGCAGCAGCAGCTCGCGCTCTGGGGTTGGGGGCGGGGTTGAGGAGGGGGAGGAGTGAGTGGGGATGAGATACCGGTAGATGGCACCGGTAGATGGCAGGGGGCGAGGAGGCGGGAGCGGGGCCCGTTTGCTTGCAAAGGGCAGTTGCCTGTCGGGCGGAACAGGCTTGAGTTCTCTCTTTACGTACCCCACCCCACGCCCCCAACAACACCCCTTCCATCCTCCGTCCCCTCCTCCTCCTCCTCACCTATCCGGTCGGTGGTGGTGATGTCCTCCACGTACCGCACCTTGACCAGCTTGGACAGCTGCTTGATCAGGTTGGCCTGGGAGGGGCGGGAGGGGAATGGGGGGGGGAGGCGGGAGCAGTTGGGGGGAGCGGGGGCGAGGGAGCTTACGATGCATGCGACCTCAAGACGTCCGCCTCGCGTGCCGCGAGTGCCACTGCCCTAACAAGCGTTGTATGTGCGGGCCAGGCTTCTAGGAGCGGTTGGGTGGGGGTGACACAGCCGCCTGCTCCCGGCTGCTCACTCCTCCTTCCCCACACCCCTGACCCCTCTTCTTTTCCTGCAGCCCTTTCCGCTCTGCCCTCCGCAACCCCGATATCTTTCCTTCCTCCCCCAAAGGCCCTTCCCCCTCCCGCCACGTACCACGGTAGCTGCCTTGCCCGCAACCACCACCGTGAAGAGGGCCTTATCGACCGTGAGCCCCACAGCCAGAGACTCGATGTTGGCACCTGCGAACCCAGCCAAAGTGCGTTCCTGATGCGTTCCCAAAAAGGACGTTTGTCCGTATACGCGCTAGCCCCGCTTGTTCGGATGGCTAGCGTGAGGATTGCGAGCGATTGGCCCCGCGTACCTCGCCGGGCGAACACTCCAGCGACGCGGTTAATAAGACCGGGCTCATCAGCGACAAAAATAGAAATGATGTGCTTCTCCACACCCTCCTCAAGGGGCTTGGGCTCCACGACGTAAACGTCGCCACCGGTCTGCGCCGTCGGCGATCGGTCAAGAAAGGCCCAGATGTGCCAAAGCGATCAGTTTAACTTACCAGGTTTGGTGTAATCCCAGCGACACGTGCCTGCGGAGGACGGGAGTTTCGGCGCTGAGCATAGGAAAATAACCACTGCTGCGCCATGCTATTTTACCCGAACGTTTGCGGCCCGCTTCGCCTGTGGTGAGGCCGTCCCAGTCGTCCATCGCGAAATTGGTCGCCCATTGATAGAGCGTGCAAACGGACACCCTTGCGACAGGCGCCGTGCTGCGTGTATTCAATGCGCCTCCGTAAGCACGATGCTCCAAGCTTGTTCTCAGAACGAATGCAACAAGGCGCCTACCGCTTGCAAGCTTCTCCTTTGATAACAACATGTCGTAAGAACTACCGTTCCTAGCAGTGTCACAAGTATAGGATGTGTCTGCGTCGGCAACTCCGAACTCTTAACAGTCTATATTATGTCCTTAGAGTCGCTTCATATAAGTGTTACTGTATAATGCGCTGATTGTTGTTGTCGCTTTTGGCGATGCAGCCAAACTGCTTCATCGCTTTAGTAGTACCATGAACTGAATCTCAGCTCGCTGCCCCCATTACTTGGTATGTTTACTTGGTATAAACATGCTGCATTGTCACTATCTTGACAATAGGCCAGGACCTGGGGCGGTAACACTACTGGTCTTCCGCGCATCGTCATGTTCACCACTACCTAAGACATCCGAAGACTTCGGGCGCGCATAATCCGCAAATCCTTGTCATTTTCCATGAAAGAACTCTCAGCTTGCCGCAACAACAACACCTACGATGGGAGCCAGTGGGAATTCTCATGGACCCATGGGCCATACGGCAGAAGGCTGCTGCAGTCACTTGACGCTTTCATGGTCCGCTATACAGCACATATCACAACCATGCGACAAACAACGGCGCCTAGTCAATTAATCTCCTTCTCCGCAGCAACTACCGTCCCACGGCATTAACGTAACTACATTTCCTATATATACTAATAGCCACTGGCCAGCCTTCCGTACGCATACACGTCAGGTAGGGCAACAAAGTACCAAACGACCAGCTTTAGTTGTATATAACCGGGGCCACACTACTGCAGATCCCATGTGTGCGAGTCCGATGGCACTTACAATTACTACCGGTAGCAACACAGCAAACCCGCGCCTGTGCCTCGCACGTAGACATGCCATTACAGGTAGGACATACATACCAGCGGCCGCAGCTATCGCGCACAGCTACATCGTTAGAACCGACATACCAATAGGTTTCCATTAGAAAACAAACGGTGCAGGGGGGCAAAGTAAGTACCCACTGCCATTGCGACGGATACCTGGCACGATTTAGGTCTTCAGTCAGCTCCCATGCACGCATTGCATGCACGGAGAACGGGAGAAGATTAGCTGGCCAAGCCGGGCAAAGGCCTAATAAGCCTTATTAGCCGACACTTGAACCGCCAACTGCGCAGAGGGTGCATTGCTTATACCCGCGGGCCAGCAGCGACAGGGGTCTTCCGCACAAATGAAGGCTAGGAAAACGGACAGAACGCAGCTGCCATAACAGCCTTATGATTCGTAAGATACAACACAAAACGCTTTATAAAAGCTCCTATCCACTCCAGGTAAGCAACCACAGCCAACTGGTGTCTCTGGCAGGAGTTGCCCCTTCCGCAGAAGGGCCCCTTTGCGTTGAAGTGGTGTCATACCTTACTTGGTCGTACGTCGCTGCCGTCGATACAGCGCGATGACAGTAGCGGATATAAACCTCTCGCGTGTTTCTGAGAACACTTCAACATGGATAACGTCTGCAGGCAAAGCCCCGATAGCAGGGGCACACAAGCCTGGCTGGACGGCAAGCTGAGATATACTCAATGAACATGGCAGCGGCAATGAACACTACTTAGCCTGACAGCAATTAACAAATAAAATCCTGAAAATAGGCTGAACTCGAACCAACTTTCTAGGCTTAACGCATGACGTCCATACATGCATATAAGACATGTTCCATGCTCAACTAAACACCAGCCGTTAACACCCGCTTGGGAGCCCTCAGACGGCCCGGCGGTCACATCCGACTGCTGTCCGCCCTCTGCTGCCATGGTGCTACATACCCCTTGGCTGGTGCGCGTACGCGCATATGTCCTCGTGTACCCAGCGCATGGCCATGATCCGCCCGAAGCCTTTCGGGTTCAACAGGTAAAGCAACCATCCGTACGACAACACCGTGTTATGTGATAGCAGTTTTGCTCTCTGAAATTAGCCTATAGGGCTACACTTTAACCACGCTAACAAAATACGGTTCAGGGTCCAACTCACACACGTCAACCATACCAGGACTTGTATTTTTGTGCACACGTCAACCATACCAAGACTCGTTTTTGTGTTGTCGACCAAGTCGCACAGGTAAGCACAGCAGTTGAATACGTACCAGAGCTAGGCGAGCCCTGCCTGCTTTTGCTGTAGAGTGCCGTACATTAGACATCCCCCACCTGCCGTACATTGCCGTACACAGGAGAGTTAGTTACCATATAACCCCCTCGTTCCATGCCATACATTCCCCATTTCGCCAGCCTCCGCCTCCCAGCCGCGATAGGGCTTCCGAAGCCGCTTCACCAGGTCCCCACGAATTCCCTTCGGATCAGCAAGTGCACGGACGACAGGTGCATGGAAGCACGTAGGTCACGTCCCGCATGTGGCACATGTACGTGTTTCTAGTTGAACTGACAGCAACAACGCCCTTCCAGCCACCCATCCGGCTGTGCTAGGATCCACCCATCCATTTCATCCATGCTGTCGGTGCATAGGGTGCTAGGATCCACCCAACCACCTTCCGTCACCCCCATTTCGACTCCCCTGTCCAATCCGGAGCGCCTTCACGTGTCGCAGAACGTGTCCAGCAGCCAGCCTGGCCATCCTGGCAAACTCCTGCATACAATTCTAATGACGCTTATAACGTGACGCTAAAGCTTAACTGTCTTCCTGTGCGCCTCCCCAGCTCGAACGCCCACGCCGTGCATGGAAGCCAAGAATTGTACGACAACCACCGCCAACCACCCGGCAACCACCGCCGCCAGAACCGTTGCCAACCCGTTCATGGCAAGCCAAACCGCCGCAGCCAGCAACAGCAGCCACACCTCCACCGGGTCGAATGCAAACAACCGCCCTTCTCGCATCCGAACCAGCGAAAGTACGGAACCATAACCCGAGTTCGCTCCCGCTGTTCCTGCCGTTGCTGCCGCTGCTGAAGTGCTTCCTCTCTTCTCAAAGCCCCCAACCACAGCATCCTCCGGATATACGTTCTGGTTGTACGATGGCGGGCACGGAAAATACGGCAGTCGCCACGGCTGCTGTTGTTGCATGTCTGCTGTGGAGTGTGTACGGCACCTGTCGGAAGGAGTGCCGTACGGATCCGATTCCGTCGCTTGCCATGAAGGACGCAGTTCTCGTCCCGCGCTGCGACGGCGACGTAAGTCACGTAAGGCCTCCAGCTGCGCTAACGGTCGTACGGCAGTAGCTGCACCAGCTGCCGTACTAGCAGTAGTTGTAGCAGTTGACGGCGCAGGCTCCATCTCGTCAGCACTGAACCGGCGGCTACCGCTGCTGCTGTCGCTAATGTTGGCGGCTGAGTCAGGCGTCGCTGCGGCCTCCTCTTCTTCCTCCTCATTGTACGGTGTGATCTCGCAACCAGTGTAGCCGCCGCCGCTAACGCCGGCAGTAGCATCAGCACTAGTGTTGGCAACGCCTAAGGTTGGAAGACCCGTAGAGCCTTCAGTACCGCCGGGCGGTGGCAGATCCTCCCTGAGGTACGACGACGACGACGGCTGCGGTGGCGGCGGCGGTGGCGGCGGCGGTGGCAGCGGCGAGGCCTGCAGCGCTCCTCCGACCGCCGCTGTCAGGAGCTGCCGTACGTCCGCCGCCGCCGCCTCCAGCCCACACTCGTCCAGGAAGGCTAGCACGGAATCAGCCAGCAGGCTCAGCGGACCGCCGCCGCCGCCGCCGCCGCCGCCGCCGCTGCCGCTGCCGCTGCCGTCGGTGGTGACGTCAGATCGACCATTGCCGTACATGCCTCCTCCGCCGCCGCCAGCGCTACTGCCAGAGTATGTTACCGTGGCCGCGCTGCGCCCTTGTACGAGAGCATGGCAGCTGGTGATGAGGTGGGCGGCGTCGTTTGCGAATGGCAGGAAGTGGTCTTGGAAGGCGACGGCGCGGGCCGTACCTGCGTCGCCGTACGACGGAAGAGCACTGTCGCCGTCTTCGTCGCTGCCGCCGTCATTCGTACGCATTAGCAACCAAAGGCGCTGTAGCTCTGACGTCATGTTGTCGTACAGGCCGCAAATCTCTTCGGCTGCCGCCGTCGACGGCAGCACCAGCAGCGGCAGCGTCGCCAGCGGGCGGTGGACGGCGCTGTGGGCGTGGTGGGAGACGTTGTCACGGCCGCAGGAAGAAGCAGCGGTGGCGGCGGAGACAGGAGCGGTGGCGGTGTTGTCGGCGCCCGGCGAGGGCAGGAGGTGAAGGTACACGACGCCCGGGTGGACTGGGCGAGGCAGACGGATCCTGCGAGCGTCGGGAAGAAAGGAAGTGTCGCGAATCGGCATTCAGGATCATCCTCATCGGAACAACGCACAGTGCGCATCCAACACCAGAGTACCGCCTCCCTAGCCCTCTCCATCGCCACCTAACATGACTGTTCCTTTCAGACACTGCATAAGGGCTAGCCCTCACCCCATGTTCCCAGCAAAACTTACTGGAAGATGAACCAGCTGCTGCTGTTACCGCAACCAAAGCAGATCGGGACGTCTGGATCGCCGCCATCACCCTCGCTTGCAAAGCTGCCACCGCCAATCCCGCCACAGTCACCACTGTCACCACTGTCACCACAGTCACCACTGTCGGCGTTAACGCTACCGAAGTCACCAAATGGCGGCGGCGAGCTGTACGGCACCTCCACCAGCTCGTCCAGCACAACTCCGCCGCACGTGCCAACGGCTACAATCCGTACGACAGCGGGAGAGAGATCATGCCGTACGGCACCCTCTTGCGGGTCCGGCGGTGTGCCGTACAATGGGCGCCCCTGTAGCTGCTGCTGCTGCCGTTGTACAAGCTCCGGCAAGATGGCCACTTGGACCTCCACATAGCCATTCTCTGCAGCTGCTGCTTCAACCGATGTTTCCTTGCTGCTTCTTCCATCTCCACTTCCAGCACGTACCCCAGCACCCTCGGGGGTCCTGCAGGACACAGCCACAGGGCTCAGCCAGGCGCCGCCCTCCCCTTCTGCGGCTGCTGCTCCTGCGCTCCGAGGTGCAGCAGCAGCACCAGTAGTAGCGGCATCCGGTGGCGTGGCTGACGACAGCCCGGATCCGTACTCTAAGGACCTTCGTCGTACAGCGGCAGGGTCGGGTTGATGCCTCGGGCTGTGCTGGCCGCGATGCCGGGAGTGCTGCTGGTGGCCGAGGTGGCGTCGGTGTTCCCGCTCCTGGCGAGTCCAAGTGTGGATGAGGTCAGGTAGCGATGAGGCCAGGGCGTCCATGTCATCGACCTCCGCATGGAAAAGGAGCTGAGGCGGCGGTGACGGTGACGGTGGCGGCGGCGGCGTCAGCGGCAGCAGAGCTTCCCGGGATCCGGAAGCCGCAGTTGTTGCAATGGGGCTGTGGCGGCGGGGGCAGGGGCGATTGGAGTCGAAGGGATCGGCCGCTGAAGGAGGAGTGACCCGTGGGTCGCAGCCCTGGATGCTGCTGACCACGCTCAGCAAGTGTACGCAGCCCTCCACAACCACACTGCGTGCCAGGGACATGTACGGCAGGGAAGTGATGTACGGCACGGGAAGCGACGGTGCTGGCGACGGCTGCTGCTGAACTCCATTGCTGACGCCGGTGGCTGCGGAGGCGCCGTTAGGACTAACCGCCACAGTTGAAACGCCACCAGCCGACGGTGGCTCAGGAAGCCGGCCACCGGCAAGCGGGGCCTGTACGGCAGCGCCAGGGGAGGCGGTAGCTTCCGTACTGCCGGCCGGCGCCGCCAGCAACGCGTTAAAGGCATTCGCAACGTTCGCCGCCGCCGTAGCGAACGGTTGACCGTTATGGTTGTGAACCTTGTAACTTACAAACCGTGTCGTCGTCAGGGCCTTGTACGACAGGACGCTACTCGGCGTTACGCCGCCAGCTCCCGCCACCGCCGCCATCGTCGTCGCTAGCGGCAGCGCCTTCTGTACGGCAGCAGCCGCCGTCGCCGCCGTCGGCGCCGCCGCGGCGGGCACTGGTCGGCCGACGAGCGTGCCCCTCAGAACTGCCGATGGGGCTCGACCCAGCGGCGGCGGCGAAAGCAATACGTTGAGTGGCGCCGCCGCGGAACCGCTGGCGGCGGACGCGGCGGCGACGAAAGGCGATTCCGGCGCCTCGCAATAGAGCCATGAAGCGTCACGAAGGATGCCCAATGGATGCTGTGGCTGCTGTGGCTGCTGTGGTGGCGGGCCAGAGACCGGTGTGCAGGGAGCTTGAGGCAGTGGTGGAGGCGACGTAGCCCTAGTAGTAGCTCCTCCGATGGGTGCCTTTTCGCCGTTTCCTAGGTCCTCAGTGCCTGCAGGCGTTACCCTGGTGCAACCGACGTCTGCCATGCTGTCGCCGCCGCCACCTGCTGAGAAAGCTTCATCGGCGTCCTCCTTGACAAGCCCTTCCTCAGGGGGCCGCTCCGCTGCCGTCGCCGTCACCGTTGGCACCATCGTCACCACACTCGCCCGCTCCTTCTCCTCGCCTGCTCCATCCGCACGATCCTCCACCCTCGCCGTCGGCCCCGTCGGGAACTCTAGATCCGCCGTCAGCGATTTGACCGGCCGCAAAGCCATCATTGCCGCCGCCGCCGCGGTTGCCGTACCGCGACGGCCCGACGCCTCCGTCGTCGCCACGTCCACCAGGCCCCCAGGCCATGTCCGCAGACCTCCCGAGCCGACACCTGACAGGCCCCGCTGTACAGCGCCGCTTACGTCACCTGCTGCCGCTGCTGGCGCCGCCGGCGAGTGTGATTGTGCCGCGGCCGCCGGCGGCGGCGGCGCCATATCGTAGCCGCTTCCGGCGGCATCGCAGCCTCCACTGCCCAGGGACTTTGCGATGAGTTCCGGAAACGCAAGCTGGCGAGTTTGAGCCTGAGGTGCGCTGCTGGCAGCACCGCACCCCACGGACGTCCTGTTCAGGCCGCTGCCGTTGCCGCCGTCACGTGAGGTATGCCTGTTGCTTGTCGTACAATTGGTACGATCGGGAGAGTCTGATGGCGAAGATGATTGCGAAAGGCCGTGCATGTCGTCCACTGCGACGTCCACCGGATGCGGTTCCCCCGGCACCGATTCGTCCGCTGCTTTGCAATACGGCACCTCATCAGGGGTTGTACGACTTCGTACCGCGCATCCTTGCAGGCCGCCAACAGCTGCACCTCCGCCGCCACCGCCCTGGTCCTCGTCAACCGCCGCCGCCGCAGCAGCCGCAAAAGCCGAGGCTGCAGCGGCCTGAAAGGGGCTAGCGGACGCTGACGGCGATGCTGACGGGGCAGGCGGCGGTTCCGTACAAGGCGGTTCCGTACCGTACCGCCTGTCCTCAGCATCGCCGCCGCCACCGCCGTCACCTCCGCTGCTGCCGTCGCCGCCTCCGAGCTCCCGCAGCCCCTTCGTCGGGGCAGCTGAAGTGGGCCTAACGGCGGTGGCAGTGGTGGTGGGGCCAGCGGCCGCAGCCGCAGCCGCGGTTCCCGTGGCTGTAATGCGCAGCCTTGGAGATGCGGGTGATGGTCCCCGTAGCTCGATTCGAAGAAAACGTATACGAAGTATGCGGTTTCAGAGGAGCGAAGCGAAGGGATGCATACCCCGTTCCCGTCACGCTCAACGGGATCCTTTCAGCGCTCTTGTTCACGGCTCGGCCTTCACTTTGAACCGTCCAGCGTGGCGCGCTTTTGCTGTCACGCTCTTTGATACGGAATCTTACCAGATTTTCAACGGCCGGCCAACTCTTCGTGCGTCGCTCGTGTCGTTGCTTGTGAAGTTTGTTCGATTTGTGAAGTCTACTACGGCTATATTGCGTAGCCAGCGTGGCTTCACCGCGCTTCGATTTCGCGAGGAAAACCACGCCGCTTCACAACCCACCTACGAAGATGTTTTAGATAGACGTCTAAATAAGCGTATAAGAAAGCGCGTAAAACCAATTTATAACGGTGCACAAGCCACGCCACGTGCGGCGAGGCTAACGAAAGTACTTCCTTGCCTGGAAAGTAGTCCTAGCAGAGCCTTTGGCTTGCTGCTGCTGTTCTTTGTTTCGTTGTTTGGTATAGAGCTACCGCTTTCCGAGCTGGGCACCATGGGAAAGGATGATCAAGGTGTGTGTGGCGAGCGCATGACGTTCGGTTATATTCTGGCGCTGTACCAGCCTTTCCCTTGGGCGTGTCGCAGGCGCGGGTGACCCGCTCGACAACGTGCTCTACTGCAGCGGCTTACGTCGGCTCAGCGTGTGGCCGTGGTTCAAAGCAGTTGCCAGCTTGTTGCTGACCGAGCGTCAAGGTTCCGTTTATGCGGTTCTATGCTTCCCTGGGCTTTTGTCGGAATTCGTTCAGCGGGTCGTCGATCGTTTGCGTGGGTTCGGGCATACAGTGCCTGAGGTAGCTACTTACATGCTGGAGCTTGGGACGTACATACTTGAGCACGGCTTACTGGATCGAGTACGCCAGAGGAGTGACAGCGAGTATGTCGTTGCTACGCTGTGCGCTCGGTATGCTGTTGCTGCTTGTCACCTTCCTCCTAACGCACTCGCTTCGGTGCGATGGCAGCTCCAGCTGGGGGATCCAGACGTGGTGCGGCAACAGGACCTCATGCGGGCAGATGCTGTTGCTGTTGCGTTGTACCAGACTATCGCTCGTCTGCAACAGGAGCAAGCACAACAGCGAGGGCATCTGCCGAGCGCTGGTGTGCAGCGTACAGTCGCAGGAGGAGGTAGCTCGGGGCAGGCGGGTTTGTGCGGTACGGCTGCGGGGGTCGGCGGAGGCTCCAGGCTAGGGGCCTCGGCTGCGGCTGGCTTGGGCCTCGGTCTTTGGGCGCCGCTGCCTGGTTGGGGCTTGGGCCTAGCGGCTCTGGCGGGGACGGTGGGACTCCCGGTGGGCTTCGGCCTAGCGGCTCCGGTGGGGACGGTGGGACTCCCCGCCGCGGCGCAGCCTGGTTGGGGCTTGGGCCTAGCGGCTCCGGCGGGGACGGTGGGACTCCCCGCCGCGGCGCAGCCTGGTTGGGGCTTGGGCCTAGCGGCTCCGGCGGGGACGGTGGGACTCCCGGCGGGCTTCGGCCTGCTTCGGTGGGAATTCCCGCAGTGGCGCCAGCAGCGGCAGCAGCAGCGCCGGCGGCAGCAGTGGGAGGGCTGGGATTGGGGCATGGGCGTTCCACTGCGCTGCATGTACAGCAGAACGACCTTTTGGGTGCACCAGCAGCGGCATCGGCTGCAGCCAGGCAGGCGCGCAGACGTGACAATGCAGCGTGTAGGCTTCAGCGGAGGCAACTGATGGCAGCAGCTAGGCAAGCTTGCCAGCGTAAGCGTTCTTGCCAGACTCCGTATACAAAAGCGCAAGACCAATTGGCACAGCCACTTCTGTCTCACTCACGGTTCTCTCTGGGGTCCAATGGCACTGTCACACCGTCCGTACAAGCCCGCGGATCCTTGGCGCTTTCTGCCCGCCAGCACAACGTGACTACCTAACCACTCCCTCTTTCTACACAATAAACTACATAATCAGACGCTTCCTCCCCGTTTTAATCAATCGCTTCCCCCCATTCTTACACGCCCCGCTATACCGCAACACCTTACCATCCGCTAACAGCACCCGGCCATGTTCTACGGCGTTTACACCGCCGTGGTGGGCATGGCCCTCCACCTGCTCTTCCTCACTCTAACCATCGCATACACCGTCGCGGACTATGCCTTCTTTAGGTGGCTCCGCGCGCTGGAGCCCAACCTCAACCGCCACCTGGAGGACAAGGTCAAGGACGATCTGCTCATTCGCGCAAGCGCTCCCGAGCACCGCCTACGCGCACCGCTCTTCCCCTTGAGCACCGCCATAGAGCAACAGCGCCTCATCGCCAACTATACGCATATCGCAACTGCCTTCGCCGCTCTCCGTCACTACGTTCTCCGCGCACCTGCAAACACACCCGCACCCCAACAATTCGCCAACAACCGCAACGTGGTCAACCCCCGCGACGTGGAAGGTAAACCTGGAAAGACAGGAGGATGCAGCCACCTCGGAGTGGGTTTTTAGGGGCGTCGGCGTGTTTTGGTGGTCGGTCGTTTGGGGGTGGGAGTGGATTTTGTGGTCACCTTCACTCGCTCGTCGTCACCTTCACGTCCGGCTATAATTCTTCAAGGTTGGGCCAACCTCTCATTTTCCCGTCGCAACCCTTACCACCTCCGCAGGCCGCCTCGGCTGCCTGACCAATGGCCTCATCCCCACGCTGCTGCGAGCGTTCCCTGCCACCCTCGCGCTTGCAGGAAGCGCCGCGCTCTATGCAGTCCTCCAGGTACAGTTATCGCCGAAGACATGGGGGCCGCACCACCTTAAAATTCCTCATTACTCCCACTTGGTCCTTGCCTCTTCACCTCCCTTTCCACCTGCACCTTGCTCTATTCGCTCTGTCCCATCTGCCCCATCAAACCGCTTATTCACCCCCTCCTCTAATTCCTTCCACCAACCCCTCAGATCCCCCTGGAAGCCATCACCCCCAACCTCGTACACGACTACGACATCTACGTCATTGCTCCCACCGCAGCCGCTGGCTTCACGATCCTTCGCAACGCCATCCACCTCCTCACCATGCTGCAAGACGTCCATATCCTGCGCATCATCGACACCGAGCGCGCCACGACCGTCGTGTGCGACGTCACCATTGGCAACCGCACCACCCACCAACGCGTTCAATTCAACAAGCGCGTCGCCCAACACAAGCGTAAGTCCGCAAGTTATGGCAAGGTGGAAGAGGCACAACACGCGACAGGGCACGTCACCAATTCTATTGACCCCAAAGCTTGTTGGGGTGTGGGGTTGGGGGGTTAGCACGGTGTGTCGGTGGTGTTCGGGCGGATGGTTCAGGTGGGCTTTTTGGCGTCGGCGGGATTCTTTGATGGATGGTATGTTTGGGGTTGTGTTTCTGGTCGGGGTGTGGTAGGTATTCGTGGTTTCCGGTTCTGTTGCTGAGCGGGTGCTGACTTGGGCGCCGAATGCTGGTTTTTACCCCCCCCCCCCCGAGTTAGTGCCTTATTTGTACGTCAACGCAGCCAAACTAATACCCTTATACCTCCACACTCCCGCTCGCACCCTCCCTCTACCTTTACCCCATCCGCAGATGCCATCGTCACAGCCTATGACCTCTCCGTAGTCATGCTTGCCGTCCTCCTCGACGACCCGGCAGACCCGGACCTCAACACGTACTGCCACACCCTCTGGTTCTACTCGCTAATTGTCGGCGCCGCCATTTCCATCCCCAGCCAATTCTCCCTCCGCCGGGCGTCTAAGTACCACGCCCGCGGCTTTCCCCTATGGATCACCCGCTACCACCCGGTGGTATACCTCTCCAACGGCCGCATCCAGTGCCCGCCTACCGAGCTCGCATCGGCGGGCGGCAACCTCTTCGTCATCGCCTACGACGACTTCGCCGCCTTCATGCGGTGCACGGGCGCGCAGCTCCGCTCCCTGGTCAGCCGCGCCACCAGCATGGCGTCCACTGAATGGCGTGACCCCGGCAGCACACTCTCCGCCACCGAATGGAGCCGCCTGCACCCGCACCTGCACCGCGCCCAGCTGGACGACGATGCCCACGTGAGTCCACAACTGAGCGATTTAGGACTCTCTTGCGGAAAACGCATCCTCGTGTTCTTATCTTGTCTCCTTGCTATCTCTCCCAGACAACTCCGACCCGACCACTCCTCCACTATCCATCCCACCCACAGGTGCTCCACACCAAGTGGAACCCCGCCGCCATCCCGTGGATGGGCGAGCGCCGCAACGCCCACTGAGGGGCCGACGTTTTGCTTTGCGGCGTAACGGTACACTTGCGCAGCACTGGGTTTGGTTGGTGTCCGTTTTGCTAAGGGTTACACGGCTGGTTATATGGCACTAACTAGACTGTTTGACACCATGCCGAGCTGTTCAGTTGTTGTTGAAAGGGGCCGACGTCTTGCTTTGCGGCGTAACGGTAACGTCCACTAGATAACGACCTGCTGTACTTTTAGCAGGATAGATCCGACGGCTGGTTACGCAGCACTGGGTTTGGTTGGTGTCCGTTTTGCTAGGGGTTACACGGCTGGTCACATGGCACTAACTAAACTGTTTGGCACCATGCCGAACTGTTCAGTCGTTGTTGAAAGGGACCGACGTTTTGCTTTGCGGCGTAACGGTAACGTCCACTAGATAACGACCTGATGTACTTTTAGCATGATAGATCCGACGGCTGGTTGCACGGCACTGGGTTTGGTTGGTGTCCGTTTTGCTAGGGGTTACACTGCTGGTCACATGGCACTAACTAGACTGTTTGTGGCACCATACCAAGCTGTTCAGTTGTTGTTGACTTGTTGCCAGTTGCCAAAAGACTGGCGACAATTGAACCAGGTTGTACGCTTGGCAGAGAATACCTGCCGGCCGATTGTACGGAGATTGACTCCTTGTACATAACTCGCTTCCCTTGCCGAGCTACGGGTCGCTCCCGCCGAAGGCGGGCCTTACTTGTGTGTTGCCACGCGTGGCGGCGGTCCTGTCGGTTGGGTTGTAACCGCCAACGGTAACCGTCCGCGTCAGCAACCTGCAGCGAAGCGCCAATGGGTTCGTTTTGACGACATACGACATTATAGAAGTATACGGACTTGAATGGGACTGGTCATATACGCCGATGTCACATAGTGGCTGACCCATGGATCGCCGCTGCACGCAACCATGACATCTAATGCGAAACACCCCCCACCTGAACTTGTTCCTCTGCGCCGCCTCCAGCCTCGCCACCAGCCACGTGGGCACCGCGCAGTGCGCCGCCAGGTGCAGCAGCAGCCAGGCGGGGCCCAGCAGCGGCGCGGCGGCGGAGGGGCCCGCCGTGCGGCTGGTGGCCAGGTAGGCCGCCAGCACCGCCAGAGCCCACTCCAGCAGGCCGAACGGGAGCTGCAGGGACAGCGGCACCTGCGAGAGAGGGGTTACCGGCAGGACAGGAGTGGTGGGAAAGGGAGAGGGAGAGGCAGCAGGTGGACACAGAAGGCGGGAGGAGGCAACACGTACGGCGAAGTACCCAGGAACAACGTAGTTACCAGCCGCACCCGCACCCATGACGCACCCATTACAACCGCCCTCACATCCTCCGCCCCCACATCCTCCGCCCCCACATCCTCACCCGCCCGAACGTGATTGCCTTGACCGACATGAAGAACAGCCCCGTGTTCACCCCCCGGCTGCCCGTCGACCGCGCGTACGCCGGCATGTAGTACAGGGCGGTGGTGGCGCCGATGCAGGGCGGCGTGGCGGTGGCGGCGGCGGTGACGTTGCCGGCCATCATGGCGAGGCGCACCAGCAGCACCAGTCCGTTGCGCCAGCGGAGGTACAGGGAGGGACGAGCCTGCATGCGGAAAATAACGTGGAAGAGTGGTTTGGAAGAGTGGCATGTCGTGCGCCGCAGTACCAGTACACCGGTACATGCAGGGAATTGCCTTGCAGTGCATATACCGGTATACCGTGTTGTCGTCCTGCTCATGCGGCTATAGACCAGCGCTCCTGGATCAATCTCCCTTGGGAGGTCCCAGCAGGATTGGGCATGCACTGGGAAATCCTGGCTGACGCATGCATGCATGCAAGACAGGCCCAACTCGAACCAACCCAACCCACCAGCATCACCGCCAGCGCCGCCGCCAGAGAGGTGATGTAGAGCCACACGGAGTCGTCACGTCGCACCGCCGCATGCAGCAGAGCGCCCGGCAGGTGCCTTTGGGGGTGGTAAGGGTAAAGGGGGGGTCAAAGACCATACCAAACCATAGGAGACCACAAGTTAGGGCAAGGGGGGGCGATAATAGAAAATGGAAGTGTGTGATCCGGGCAACCCGAGGAGCCTTGCATGACGACAGACTCATCATGCGCATGTTCTTGTCACGACATACACGCATGCAGCAGGTGGTACCTGTCGAACACACCCACTGCATGACTTGAGTAACAGATGACACCATTGACACATACGGATATAAACCTAAATACAGCGGCTGGTGAGTACGGCCCCCCGTTGTCGTATGTCGTACATACCTGGCCCTCTGTTGTCGTATGTCGTACCTACCTCAGCGTGTGAATGTACTGCCAGGCGCCATTGAGGTGGCAGGGAAAGCTCTCCAGCGCTGCTGCGTCGGCAGTGAACCATGGGTCACAAGCAGCGCAGGCGCCCTCGTCAGGGGGAGCGCCGGGCACTGGCATGCCGGGCGGTGTGATCGCGACTGCTGCGGCTGCGTTTTGCGGGCAGCCTGTTACGTAGCCTGCGCCGCGGTTGAGTGTCACAACTGCCATGACAAAAAGCTCCATGGTCCACACGGTTAGGTCGAAAGCGGCGACCTTTGGGAGGGGGTTTGTGGCGGCATGGAAAGCAACAGGCGAAACATTATGGTGCTGGACTTTCAGTTCATGAAGTTCTAAGACGGCGTTAGAAGACCTGTTTTAAGCTGCAGGATAGGCGACGGTAAAGTATGATGCCCTGCTGCATTCGGATAGCGCATCTGGATGGTCAACATGGATCGGCATTTGGCACTACCGGTATGCGACGGGAGGCCAAGCAAATCCTGTCCGCAAAATCTACAAGAAAGGCTGCTCAGACGCCTGCAGCCCCGTTCTATCTTCAGTCCGTTCAGAACAGAAACCTGCGCTTCCATCCTCCGCTTATCGCTCCCACATCCTTCACAAAAATGTTACGCGGCGAGAAGCCTGCTAGCCCTAGACATGACCAGTCGAGGCCGGCCGGTGACTCATCGTCGCGCGACAACTCTTTGCTGCACAACCAGACGCATACCTGGCGAATGCACCAAGCTCGAAATGCGGCCTCCTCTCCGGTTGGAGTCCTGGGCAGCAGTCGCCGCAAAAAGCGCAGAGAAGAAGGTTCGCTGGTGACCGATTGTTGGCCGCTGCCCATCAGTGCTTTGGCTTTGACCGCAGAAGAGTCGCTCACGTCGCAAAACGTCTCAGCTGAGGAGCTGCTGCCTGCTTTGCTGCAGTTGCTGCTCGTTGCAAAAGAAGCGTCTGCTGACTGCTTCTGTCGAGGGAACTCATCAACGCTGCGTTTGCGCCTTGTAGGCGGCCTGCGGTGCAGGCCAGGTAGCCACAGCGACAACATTTTGCGCTCTAGGTTGTTTGTTTCTGCTAAACAGCTGCTGGTGGAAGCCTTCAATGCCTCAGGCGGCCTTCAGCGGTCGCTGATTTGCGCTAGTGGACGGCCCCATTGAAATGACGTGCGTCCTTTGGATGCAGGTAAGCACCGAGAATTGTCGTTAAATAAAGTGAAGTAAGTGAGTTTATGAACAATAACCTTTACAAGCGTTTTGCGACCTGGCAATATCACAGCTCTACACAGCGCTTAGCAGGCTTCGAGCACCCGAGGTTCGCACTTCGCCGTACGTGCACTTTTGACATCACTACAACGCTCAAATGCAAGCGAAGCGACGAAAAATGCCACATTCTTACTGCGCCATATGCAACGTTTTCCACACTTTGTCTGCAAACCGTCTATGCCAAACGCTTGGATGACCCTCGGGTCACCTCTGGCATTCCTCTTGCTAGCCCGACATACTCTCTTGTTTAACGTGCGTAATAACTAGTCATTTGCTTGGTTTGGTAGTCTCGTACAGTAGGCAAGCTGTTTCGATGGTTAAAACCTAGAAAGGGTACCGTATCGCTGACCTGTCTGACATGGGAGGTTTTCATTTCCAAGTGCCACCTGGGTAGGGAGCGCAATGCCAACAATCCATGCTGATACAATATACACCTAAAGCGCCGCCGACTTAAGTTGTTGCTTGCTAGACGACTCGTCATAGGTACCCCTCGCGCCTCCCCTAATGCAAGACAAGACAGCTGGAGACAGATGTGTTGCAGATATGTTTGTTGACTGTCATAGTGGTTGGATTGGCTCTAAACAAACCTCCGTTATTACTTCCCCGGTACTTAACCCCAACACCAACCCTTTGAACTCCCGACTGTCTGATGACTCTGTTCAAACACAGCGCATGAACACCCTTAGCCTATCTAGCACCAAACGACTAATTTTAGCCTATCTAGCACCAAACGACTAATTGAAGGCAGAAGAACACTCGTGCATGTCGACATATAATGTACACGGTAGCCGCAGAAAGTACGGCACCTTAATCAGTTGTGTAACAATCAGCCAAACCAGCAGCTTACCCAACCCTAACCCTAACCCGCCGGTGTTGAGTCTCATCCTTCCTCGGACTCCGCACTGAGACCGAGACTCTCTGCTGTCCCCTGCTGCAGGACCGCTACCTCTCATCGGCTCCACCACCACTTTCCACCATCAAGCATCCATCCTACACACTTCCTGCACGAGGAAAGGAGAAGACGAACCCCATGTGCCGTACCATCCGTTTCAGACGTCCACACGCATTGCTACTACCTCCCGTTTCAAGAACACGAAACCTAGCTAAGTTTACAGCACAAAGACGTGACAGAGTCGTAGCTAGCATCACAAAATGCGCTCTGCCGGTGATGCTCGCGAGTCCTCTCAGTATCATGGAGAAGCAACAACAACAGGTTCCAGCAACTGCAGTACTTTTTGGTCGTACAACCGAATTATTAACCACCATGTACCACACCCAAATTCGACCAAGCAGCAAAAGCTGTGGCTAGTTAGCTAAGTAAAAAAGCCTCCTTCCGCGGCCGCCCACTCTGAACAAACATAGCAGACAACATAACAACACGTGTCCGATACCTCTTGACGAACGCCACGCACCGGTTCCACATTTGCTCCTCTAGGGAATGCAGGCATCATAAGAAAAAAACACACCTCCTGTAAAACTCTCCTAACACTTTAGGAAGGCATACAAGCAGCAATTCATTATCAACTCGCCCCGTATATACCAGACTCTTGCTTGTTGCCACGCCTTGCAGCCAACAACACCTGCACCTACAACTTCGGCTGTAGTAGACCTACACCTTTTTATATTTTTATGGAATACTTTATTACTACACAGCCATCCATATGCCCGCTAATATGTAGCACATACGTTTCAAAGGCTCACAGTCAACATTATTCATATACATGGAGCTCATGATGACGGAACGCTCCCGCAAAGGAAAGGGATCGTGGCGCGCGGTGGGCAAAGCTTGCGTGTGACAAAACACGCCGACACGGAGTCTCACTCTCCAACTCCATTTTCCAACCCTAGTCTGTTTCCTAAGCCGCGCCAGGCTAGCTAGCAACGTACGAAGCCTAAACAGGCAACGGTAAGGCAACCATGCTAGCTTCAGAACCTTCACGCTTAGCTCAACGCGCCGCCTTTGCCAGCTGTCATCCTCCACATCAGGCCCAATGAAACTAACCCGTTTGGAAAGCCCAGAGCCCAGCCCAACGCAAGCAAAAGCCCAGACCAGCTGCCCCACTGCATCAGAAAGCGTAGTGCGCATCCACTCGTGAACCCACCATCGTCCACACTGGCGTCCCGCCGTAGGACCCCGACC